GCAAAGGAAGATACCTACAAATATATGAATATGATCTCATTTATGCAAATTATGGCTTCATCAAATGTAGTAACAGTGGAATATGGTTTCATCAGTCATAAGTTTAGTTCGGTTATGTTGACATGTCTGATGCACGAAACAGTTCAGGAGCTTTCGAATTATATGGATGCATTGAAGAAGATAATAATTATTTCCAAAACAATTACAAATTAATAAAAATAAATAAATTAATATCCATTAAATCCAGTTAGAAAATCATGCAGAAAAATAAATATTAAAAATAATTAATATTTTAATTAATGAGTGATTAAGGGTAAAACTGGAATTAATTTCAATCTTGAATCACACGTCTAACTTATTTGATTTTTTATTTTCTTTTTTTAATTAAAAGACCTGTACTCCGTTAACTTTTAAATTAAGTTATCTTAAAAATAACTAATATTTTAATAAAAAAATATTACATAAAAAACAAACATTTCATTTTATTTGATTTGACATCCATCTCAACATGGTTTTTTTTTTGTTTTAACTGTTTTTACGTGGATGTATATATGTGTAATATTCATCATGTATATTTATGCACATTCAAGTGTATGCAACAACTTTTTAGTATTCATACATCAATATGATATTCATCATTAATATACAACTCATTATAGCATATGCATAATGAATAGTTATGTATTTTCACGTGTATACAACAAATCTTTAGTATTCATACATCACTATGATATTCATTATTAATATACTTTTTCACTATAACATTCATCATGAACACAAATAGTATGCGTCATGAAAATTCGTTTAGATTCATGTATATACAACAGTTCTTCAATATTCATAAATAAGTATGATATTCATTATAACATTCATCATAAATATGCATCATATTCGTCATGGATATTTGTATGTTCGTGTATACAAAAACTCTCTAATATTCATGCATCAATATAATATTCATCATGAATATATGTTAATATATGTTATCACTTTAACATATATCATGAATACCTATATATGTTTACGTTTATACAACAACATTTCAGTATTCATACATCAGTATGATATATTAATCATGAATATTCATTTTCACTATAACATTCGTCATAAATATGCATATTATTCATTATGAATTACACGTCATATATCATGAATATCTATGTATGATCATGTGTATATAATAGCTCTCCAATATTCATATTAGTGTGATAATTATCATAAATATAATACAGTTTTAACTATACATACTATAGTTTTTTTCTCTTTATTGGGTTCTCAATTTATCTCAATAGGTTCTCAATTCACCTTGATTTCTTGATCCGTCTCGATAAAAGATGAAATCGGTAGGTTATAATTTACATACACAAACACAAATAAATCAATCGATAGCTTCTCCATCAATGTCGATGAAAAATAAAGGTGGTAAGTCATATTTTACACAAACAACCACACACCAAGTCAATGGGTGGGTTCTTGATTTTCTCGATTGGTCTTAATGGGTCCTCGATTAGTCCCAATGGGTTCTTGTTCGCTCTCGATTTATTTCTTACTTACCATACTCTCAGATCTCATAGAATATCGCTGAAGGGTTCCTGATTGGTCTTGATGGGTTCCCGATTCATCTCGATAAAAGTTGAACGTGACAGGTTATGTTTTACACACAAAAACACATAATAAATCAGTCTATAGGTTCTCGATCAATCTCGATGGAAAATGAAGGTGGTGGGATATAGTTTTACACATATAAATAAACCAAGTCAATGTAGGTGTTTTATCGGTCTCGATGGGTGTTGGATTCCGGTGACGAAGAACGTGGTCAGGTTATGTAGTCACACGTTGAAGAAGGTATTTTCAAGTTACAAACTCATGATGTTGAAGAAAGTGATGTCGAGTTATTAACTTATAGAGTCGAGCTGTTGTACACACTTGAACATACATGAATATTTTAATGAATATTACACATATATAGCATTTCACGTTAAAATGATTAAAAAAACTACATCAAGATGAATTTCATATTGAAAGGACTTAAATTATCGTCGTCTTGATATAATATGCTTGATTAAGATATTAATAATTTTTAAAATAATTTAGTTTAAAATTAAGGGTTAAAGTTTTTAATTAAAAAACGAAAGAAAAATTTCATATAATTAAATGTCGTCATGATTGAAATAAACTTCATTTTTTTACCTTTAATCACCTTAATTAACAATTTTAATTAAAAATTATATTTAATGTGATTTGTTAGATTGATTGAGAAGGAGGACCAAATGTCCTTTAATTAAGAAGGTAAATTTGAGAAGTGATAAATATTTGAGATTTAAAGAAATGATAGTCTTCATCTGGTACACATTTGTGGCTTTGACCGTGAAGTACCAGATACTACCTCACATGGGTATGCGGAAGATAGATGGGTAGTTTCGTAACTTTTTCAAAGAGGCGACAAACAGGTTCATATGTGAACTCATGTGATACACATATGATTATATGTTCATATATGATCCCATTAATTAGTTTACATGTGAAGTATTTAACTGATTCATATATGAACCCATATGTTCATATATTAATCAGTTAATTAGTTCATATTAAATTACACGGGTTCATATATGAATCAGTTAAAATAGTTCATATGTGAATTATATGAGTTCACATATAAACATATAGTTCATATATGAAATCGTTCGCCGCCTATTTGTAAAATTTACAAAACTACTCTCTCTATTTTTTGGGTAGCCGCAATTTTTGACCAGTCAAATCCAATCTTGTCCGTATGAAAGGCTAGGATCACTTCTTTACTTCTCAAATATTTACCACTATTCAAAATAACCTTTGACTACACACACACACATATATATATATATATAGGGGCCTATTCAAGGGAGAACTGAGTTGTTTGTGGTAACTGTGAGAACCAATATTAACCACAAATCAATAGATAAATTAGGAAATTTATAAATTTGGTAATTTTAAATTAAAATCTTAATGCAAGGATATTTTTGGTATTTTAAAACTCTCCTCTCTCCTCTCTACGGCCACCGTTCTCCGGCCTCCGGCCACCGTCTTCCGGTGATACCACTATGATACCATTGTGATACCTAAAAATATTGAATCTGTTAAACAAAAGATACATTGTGATACCTAATCATATATAAGATGCATAGTGATACCATTGTGTTACATCTTCGATCGACCACACAAACGACATCAATGTGATACCCAAGCACATATATGATGCATTGTGATACCATTGTAGTATCACCGGCGGACGGTGGCCGGAGAGAGAAGAGAGGAGGGAGGAAAGTTTTAAAATACCAAAAATATCCTTGCATTAATATTTTAATTCAAAATTGCCAAAATTATAAATTTCCTAATTAGTTACCACAAACTAATTAGTTCTCATTTGATTAGGCCCCTATATATATATATATATATATATATATATATATATATATATTCAATCGATCTTGAGGATGCATTCAATCAATTGAGAGAAGTGATGAAAACAATAATCGGTTTAAGAATTAGAAAAGAGTACAACCGACTAGGGTTTAGGACTTTCAAGATAATTTGATAAATAAATATAATTAATATTTAACAATTATATATATATATATATATAAGGTTTTCGGACGGCTCGAGTGGCCAAAAACAAAAACCAAACCCGAACCCAAATATTCCCCAAAAGGTCAGGTTTTGAACTTTCAAATTTCGGGGCATTTGGATTTCACACAAATACCTTATTTTCGGTTTAGATTCGACTTTCAGACCATTCAGGTTTTGCACACCCCTAGTGTTGGTCATCGATGGATTTGTTGATGACCTTCCGATCACTTTCCTAACATTTATCATCTTATACTTAGATAGCTTTTGGTTCTTTATTGCAAAAGGTTTGATATATATATATATATATATATATATATATATATATATATATATTGGATCAACGATATCAAAGACTAGCTAATATATCAAGAGGTAGATTAGCCGATGCAGATGAGAGATCTACTATCCTACTTACACACCAAGCCTTCCCTATGGGTAGTCGATTTTATTGATTGAAAAGTCAACTACTCTATCGGGCAAATACATTCTTGAGGTTAAAATTGCATTCTTCAAGTGAAACTAAAGAATATGATCTTATAATCAACAATCAAATAATTAATGAATCAGTTAGTCAAATTCAATCTACAGGTTAGACAAATTATTCACAGACACAAAAAAGATGCGAAATAGGATTAATATGATACTCTGTTAATCTTGTGTACTGATTTATATTTATCATGATGTCTAAAAATCTCAGACCTTACAATATTCATTTTGTTCATCTAACCCATATCTAAGGGGTCGTTTACCAACAATTACTTGATAAACATTTATCGATAAGAGCTACCATTTTCGCTTATCTTTTAGGTAACATTCTCGGTAATCAGAATGAATCGCTGGTAAATGTCTCTTACCTAGTAACCGCTAATCAAGCAAAAGTCTTCTCTTTCACTTACCATGTAAGATTTTTGGTTTTTCTGATACTTACTTGGTAAATGTCAAAAAAATCAATATAAAAATTGATCCTAAATTTTTTGAAAAAACGTAACAAAATTCTCGGTTTTGAATGATCAAATCTCTGAGCTTTCTTTTTAATAAAAAAAAATCATTAGACTTTTTTGTTTATAAAACATTAAATTGGCTCCAAATGTCAAAAGTATCAGGAGGTCCCAATTTTAAATCCAATGAGAAATAAAAATCCTCTTGTGGCCACGGAGGTTCAAATGCGGTGACTTCGGGCTATCTACAAAGTAGGTGGTCCTACTGAGATTAGTCGACTCGCATAGCAGGTTGGATATCCAGGTAAATAAAAAAAATCGACAAAAAATGTTGGAAATAAATAGAAATCGGAGGAAGCAGTGGCGGTTGAACCTGCCCCCGCCTCCCATCCACCAACTTCTTCACACTCCCTTTACTCGCTCCATTATCAAACCACTTCATCATCCAACGCAACAAAATTACCCCTGCCATCGTCAATCTTGATGTCACCCATCATCATCAACGCTACGTAGGAGACATTCAAACGTTTAATCTAGAATCGCATACATGGGTAGAATGCATTTATGCATACCAAGTGTTTGATAAATTGATTCTATGAACATGGGAAAAAAGATCTTCATGTTGCCTGCCACCCAAGTTGATTTGACCAAAGTGAAGTACGATCCTGGAGAAATCGAAGGTTCTTGGCCTTTCTCTTTTCTACTTGTTCCTTGATTATTGTATTTCTTGTGGAGTAAAAAGTGGTTTCCATTGATGGGTTAATTTGTTGCAGCTCCTGATATCACTGGATTATGGGCGTGGATTTTTGTTAAGTTGCTTGAAATGCCTTTAATTGGTTCTGTGATCCTTACTTACTTGAAGAAACAGAACAAAATACAAGAGGTTTGTTCTTCAAAACATATATTGATTATGGAATTATGTTTGTATGTTTCAAAAGTTGCGATCTTGAAAGTGGGTTTGTTGTTTACATTTGTGTTATTATGCAGATGTTAAGGGAGACTGTGATACCAGAACCTAGAGACGGAACCAGAATTTTTTTTAAACGGTGGCACCATTTGACCATAAGAAAAAAAATATAGAATTTTTTTTAAAAGGTGACATCATTTGACTATAAGAAACAAATATACGGAATTTTTTTTCAAACGGTGGCACCGTTTGACTATAAGAAACAAATATACGGAATTTTTTTCAAATGGTGGCACCGTTTGACTAAGAAAATGACACTAACATGATTCGTACTTGGGTGTGGGGTGGAATAAAAGCCTTGCAAACCAACTTTACCAAATAAAACTTGTTCTCATTGTAGTTTCAAAATACATACGGTGGCACACAACAAATTAATAAGGTTGCACCATTCACGAAACCTAAATTTTTTACCCTTCGGTGGAGAAACGATACGGTGGCACGTGCCACTCATGGCACCTAACTAGGTCCGCCCATGCCAGAACCACCAATGTTTCGGCCTGAGTTTCCTCATCAAGGTTTGTACCTTCTGGGCTTCTGGTATATATATATATATATATATGTGTAGCTTCCATAAATGCAAGCATTTGTTGATTCGTTCTTTTGAATTATGAAAACTGTTTATATTTGCATTTTTGTTGTTTGAACCTGAAACCCACAAATGCAGCCCTTGCAATGATTTTGGTCGTAGAAAGAAACCAATTTGATGCCTCCCTTTTCTTCTCCTTCTCAATTCCACTTTCATCATCATCTTTTTGATGATTTTAGTTTACGAGCCGCTCCTTTTTTTAATCCTGTTGTTTTTATTTTTAACTTTTAGTTAAGGGGACATTTACCTAAATACTTACCCAGTAAGCGTTTAATATTAGGAGTCAATAATATAATTTATTTTACCGGGTTAAGATAGTAGTACATGGTATCGTATGCAACAATCTACCCGGTAAGCACTTATCCGGGTAAGAGTCATTACTTCACTTACCGATTAAGACTCTCCATCTTTATCATTGCTTTTACCGGGTAAGATTTTTGACCCATGCCATGTTCATCCGGCAAGGAAAATTACCGTGTAGTCACTTACCAGGTAAATGTTTAATGAACGACCCCTAAATTTCTTTTCCATTCATTTTTTGTTTTAAATTTTACTAAAAGGATACATTTCGGTTTTAATGTTTTGTTTTATTCTTTGTCTATGTGGATGTTATATTACAGTTTTATGGGGTGTGCGAAAACACTAATGTTTTTATTTTGAATAAAATAAAATTTGAAAAAATATATTGATATTAGTACCAAATTAACTATTTAAAAGTTATTAATTTAGGTTTAATAACGAATTAATTTATTTTTGGTTTAATAATATAATTTGTATAAAGATAATAATTAAGTATTTTATTAGAACTCCATTATTATCCTGATTATCATGTATTTGATTATGTTTATCTGCAGTTCGTTACACATATTCAAACATGGAGCTTTAATAAGTTGTACTTGAACACAATTATTTGTAATCTTGAATTTTTAAGTATTATGCATCAATAAACAGTACTTCATGTATAAAAATAATTTTTAAGAGTTTTTGTCAAATACTTTAATGTTGTTGCAACAAATACAATCCCTTCTAGTTTAGTCTCAAACATTGATCTATTTCATTTTTAAAGAGGTTGTTATTTAATTAATTTTTTAAAGAAAAATGCAACTGCATCCTTTTAATTTTTTTATTTAATTAAGAAATAAATTCCCTTATTTCATGGAATGGTTTTTAAGTTTTTTTAATTTATTTAAGTTAGGAAATGCTTTTAATTCTTATCCAAAACTATTTTTAATTTATTCATTATTTCACAAATTTAATAACATTGGATGAATTGAAATCACTAAAAAATATCGGCCGTGAACGGCTCATTTGCCCTATCGAAATGATGAAATTCATTATCAAGTGAATAATGAAACACTTCAAAATCAAAATAGCCTGAATAAAAACTAAACAGTATAATAATAAAATAAAAAAACTACGAAATTATGAATTATTTAAAACTTTTTTGGATATGTGTCGCTAAAATCATTTCTTAATTAAAAAAGAAAAGAATAAAATAAAATAAAAATCGTCCCATGAAATAAGGAAAGTTAATTTCTAAGTAATAAAAAAAATGAAGAAAGACAAAGTTGTCCTTTTGTTTAAAAAACAAAAAAAATAAACTCTTTAAAATGGGGATAGATCAAGGGTTGAGATTAAGGAGTTGTCTGATAATTACTGAATGATTTAATACAGAATGATTAAGAGACTTTAATGATATAGTGTAAAATAAAATATAATTGTTTGGTAATTGTTTACAATTAAATTATGGCGCTGAATGGTTAAGGGAGGCTCATGATATAAAATCATTCAGAGGTTTTAAAACCATTAAAAAAAAGTTTTTTTTGTCAAACAAGATTATCTCTTAACGATTCAGAAACTGCCTTTTTATGGAACTATTAACTGATAAACACACCTTCTTCTCTGGTGTTGCTTACCTACCCACGAGCTTTCTCTCCTTTCTCGTTATCCATAATCCATCTCCCCTCATTAATAAGTTCTTGCATGAACGACCCTCCCCAAACGCCCCTGCAACACCTGGACCACTGCCATCAATTTGTTTTGGATTTAGGAGTTTTTTCTAGTTGATTTAGGGATTTTGGTTTAAGATTGGTTCTTGATTTTATTGATGAAGAAGAAATAACGAATTATGTTGATGAACTTAAAGACATATGAAGAAGATGAACATTTATCCATTAAAACTTGATGAAATCCCCTCACACGAGGGCCACATGGGGTGGCTAAGGCTAACTGATCCCAAGTTAACTTGAGGAACCACCATTGTCGTGAAAATGAAAAGTTAGAGACCTTTGGTGTAGATAGTGCATTTAAGGAGGTGTATCCGAATTTTAAACAAACCACATGGATGAACAGAGAAGAGCATTCACTCAATATTCAATAATATAAAGTAATAAAGTGATAAAGTTGTCAAAGTATTAGGTTATAAGAGAAGTTTGTTAAAGTTTTTAGGTTGTTGATGTGAGGTTGATACGAAACAGAACAAATAAAAAGAAAAAAAACTGGTTTTTGACTAGCACAATCGTTGGTGCTCGGATGGACGGGTTCTTAGAGGGTGTTTGTGATTACTTATAAAAATAACTTATTGATTTTATTTCGGTGTGATACCGGTAATAAACACTTTTGAGTGTTTAAGGAGTTTTTAAAGAAGAAAAACATTTCTGACTTCTAATAAGTTGATAAGTGTTTTTGTAAAAAAGTATAAGTTGTTTCAAATAAACAAATCCCAAACACACCCTTCGATTTACTCAAGAATAACAATAAAAGGAAAGTTATTTTGAAGGTTCATTAAAACTTTGGAAAAAAAAAATCAAAAACGGTCATTGGATTAAGAAAAACTCGAAAGGGGTTACACCACAAGTTATATATATATATTTTTTTTAGTATGTTATTTTATTTTATTTAGGGCCGTCTATTTTGCAGGAATTGAATGAATATGGGAGGGATTTGGATTTCAAATCTATTCTAATCTCATGTTTGGTTTGTTATATTGTCCAGATTTGAAATCCGAGAATTTAATTGAAATCTTATAAATATAGGATTTTGAAATCCTTAGGGCGTTCATGATTTCATGGGATTTTGTAGGATTGTAGGAAATAAGGTTTTAAAAAATACTAAAAACATTTTATTTTATAATAATCGATTAATAAAAATGTAATTTAATTATTTTTATAGTTATTTATAACTTTTTGTATAAATTATTTATAAACACTGAAATCCAATTCCATTCCAAATCTTACAAACCCAAACACACTAATTATTTCAATATTATTCCAAATCCAAATCTTTCCATGAAATCTGAATTTCTCAAAAACAATCCTGCAAATCAAACGGACCTTAGTTTTTTCTTCGTTAACCATGGGTGTGCGGGTTAGTTTGCATGCACCTCGACTAATCTCAAGGACCTTGGAGAACAGCCAAAAAAAATCTCGAATAGCCTTACAAGAACTCGAACCGATGACCTTTGAGGAAAATCCAACAGCTAAAGCTTGCATACAACTCTAATAGTTTTTTTTTTTTTTTTTTTTTTTTTTTGTAAAGGTGTCCGGGCCAAAGCCCGACTAATCCCCGGCAATTTTGAAGGCTAAACATGACCCCACTTAAATGTCGCCATCACTTCCCTCCCAGGGCTCGAACTCGGGTTCATGACTATGCTATGCCCAAGCCTTTACCACTAGGCCGGAAGGTCTTTGATTTAAATGGGTTAGAATTAATGTAGTAGTTTATTTATTTATTGTTGTATTTAAACCCTCATTCTTGTTGTTTACTGTTACCCAAAAAAAATACCTAACATTCACCTAACTTTTTAATCCACTCTCATTTACATCAAATCTAATAAAAAATTGACGAAAATATAATGATAATATTTATTTAATGATCAAAATATAAAAAAGTAACTTTATAAATGTCAAAATATAGAAATAGATTGTTTGGAAACATGGTAGGAGGAAGGGGGATCTTTATCTAATTCTAAATATATGTTGTCTAATCCATCGATTAAGTGAAAACACATCATTATCTATACTATATTATAAAACATTTGATAAAAACTCTTAAAAGTCATTATTTATGCATGAAGTATTGTGCATTAATGCATACTAGAAGGGTACTCGTGCAATGCAGCGAGATACATCTTGATTTTAATGTTTCGTTTTTATATTTTGGGTCTATCAGCAGTGGCGGATCCAGGATTTTGGTATAGTGGGGGCACCTTTAAGGTAGCTTAAACGCCCACCAAGTCGTCCGATGTGTTTTTAGCCTAATTCCACCATTCCAAAAGATTTTTGAAGTTTTTTTTGGATTATTTCGAGGGAATTTTAAGGTTTTTTTTTATCGATTTCGAGGAACTTTTCAGTTTTTTGTTGATTTCAAGATACTTTCTTTAGTTGGTGGGGCCCTAACAAGAAATTACGGAGGAGAACCATGGTAGAAAGTAAAAAAGACAACTTTTAACCTTAGGAAAATTCATTTTTTTTTATTTTTTAATTGGGGTCCCTTCCCCCATCTTTTACATGGTAAGTCCGCCCCTGTATATCAGTATTATGATGCTATGTGGTTCAGAGAAAAAGAAAATGTTTTTATTTTTGAATGAAATATAAATTTGAAGATGTTATAAAATTTTGAAAAAAATAAGTGATATTAGTATTAAATTAACTATTTAAAAAATTTCGTTTTTATGTAATTTTTTTCATTCAAATTTTTATTATGATTTAATTAAAATTAAAAAACGAATTAATTTATATTTGATTTAATAATATTTTTTAAAGATAATAATTAAGTGTTCTGTTATAACTCAATAATTATCCTAATTATATTTAAAAAATTTATATTTTAAAATAAGATGTTTATCCTCTATTTGATTATGTTTATCCGCAGTTAGTTACACGAATTCAAACATGGAGCTTTAATAAGTTGTACTTACGCACAAGTTACTTGTAATCTTGAATTTTAAGTAATATGTATCAATAAACAGTAATTCATGCATAAAAGACGATTTTTAAGAGTTTTTGTTAAATGCTTTATAATATAGTATAGATTACTTAAAAATTTAAGATTACAAGTAAATTATGCGTAAGTACAACTTATTAAAACTCCATTTTTGAATTCGTATAACTAACTGTAGATAAACATAATCAAATACATGATAAACATCTCATTTTTTATAAAAAAAATATAAAATATAATTAGGATAATCATTGAGTTCCAACAAAATCATAATCTTTATAAAATTTTATTGTTAAACCAAAAATAAATTACTTCACTAAATTGTAAAAACATTATCTTTCTCAAAACCACCTAAATCTTATTATATCAACAAAGACAAAAAATAAAACGAAACATTAAAAATGAAGATATATTTCGCTGCATTGTACGAATAGTTTTATTTAATCTATGTTTATCTTTTCTTTTTGATGATATTCATTCCCCTAATGTATAGATAGAAAAGAGATGGAGAATGTTGGGATTCCCCTGATTGGTAGATATAAAAGAGACTCAGAATTTTCGGTGTAATACCGGTATTAAGTACTTTTGAGTGTTTAAGGAGTTTTTAAAGAAATTAAACATTTCTGACTTCTAATAAGTTGATAAATGTTTTTGTAAAAAAATATAAGTTGTTTCAAATAAGCAATCTCAAACACACCCTTAGATTTACTCAAGAATAACAATAAAAGGAAAGTTATTTTGAAGGTTCATTAAAACTTTGGAAAAAAAATCAAAAACGGTCATTGGATTATGAAATAAGGTTTTAAAAAATACTAAAAACATTTAATTTTATAATAATCGATTAATAAAAATATAATTTAATTATTTTTATAGTTATTTATAATTTTTGTATAAATTATTTATAAATAATGGAATCCAATTTCATTCCAAATCTTACAAACCAAACACACCAATTATTTCAAATTCATTCCGATCCAAATCCCTCAAAATCTCTCCATGAAATTAGAATCTCTAAAAACATCCTGCAAATCAAACGGACCTTAGTTTTTTCTTTGTTAACCATAAGTGTGCGGGTCAGATTGCATGCACCTCAACTAATCTCAAGGACCTTGGAAACAGCCAAAAAAAATCTCCAACGGTCTTATAGGAACTCGAACCGATCACCTTTGAGGAAAATCTTTCTTAAAACTCTAATAGTTATTGTGTTCCTAGTTGATTAAGTGGGTTAGAATTAATGTAGTAGTTTTTTTATTATTATTTAAACCCTCATTCTTGTTGTTTATTTATTTATTTTTATTTTTTTAAAGGTGTCCGGGCCAAAGCCCGACTAATCCCCAGCAAATTTGGAGGCTAAACATGGCCTCACTTAAATGTCGCCAACACTCCCCTCCCAAGGCTCGAACTCGGGTTCATGACTATGCAATGCCCAAACCTTTACCACTAGGCTGGAAGGTCTTTGACTTGTTGTTTATTGTTACCAAAAAAATACCTAACATTCACATAACTTTTTAATCCACTATCATTTACATCAAATCCAATAAAAAAATAACGAAAATATAATGATAATATTTATTTAATGATCAAATGTAACTTTATAAATGTCAAAATATAGAAATAGATTATTTGGAAACAGCATGGGATCTTTATCTAAATATATGTTGCCTAATCCAACAATAAAGTGAAAACATATCTTTATTTTATTAAATATATTTTATTTTATTTATGTTTATCTTTCTTTTTGATGACATGTATTCCTCTAATAGATAGATAGCAGGGCTGGCGGCACGGATGCACGTCCAGGGCTCAAAAACATAAGGGGCCCAAATTTTTCACTTAAATAGTAGTCTAAAAGAATTTAATAAATTAAAGAAATCCAAAAAATTGTAGCATATAATAAGAGGTAAAAAGAATTTAGTAGATAATAAAGGCTCAAAAATATATCAACTAATTACATTTGAGAAGAAAATAAAAAAAAATTAAATGGTCATCCGTTATATGCTATTGTTTATTGTCTCCCTAATTTTTTTTATATCCAACAAGGTCCAATAATATTGGTTATTGTTATCTCTATATGTTTGGCTGTTTTCGTGCTTCAACAATTAAACGTTAAGATCATGTGTTTGTTATTGCTATATATTTTTGTTCGATATTTTTATCAATTTCCGCTTCTATTGACTATTGTTATTTGGTTATGTTGTTCTAATTGTTTTTGTTGACTATTGTTATCTATTTTTGCTTCTACATAAAATATTTTACTTTCACAATCAATCTATTGTTCTAATAATTTATGACGTGTTTCATGGTTTTGTAATTTATCAATAAATTTTTTCTACTAGATGTATTTAGTAATGTCTCTTATAACTTTTAATCTTAACATCTTATTTTAGTTGAACAAAAAAAGAAGAAAAATAGAATTTAGATATTTCCATCAATTATTTCACTTATGTATCTTTCATTGGGATTCTACCACAACACAAGATTTTATTTAAATGCTCAAACAATTATTTGTTGAGCTTGCATATTATATGTTTAATTTATTATTTATTCTGATTGGATCTCGATGGATCATCTTTTCTTTCATATTCTTATTGATCTTCATTTGTCTACTTGTCTAGAAAATCTTGATAATCTTCTTTATTATTGATCTCTAATTGACCCTTACGATTACTTCATTTACACGATTCTCTTTTTGTATCAAAATAACACATAGAACTAAAAAAAATCTTACTTTTAAAAATTTATCACCTATAGTTTCTATACTCTTGGTTTCAAATTACGTACTAAGAAGTACGTAAATTTAAGTACTCTCTTATATATCTATAATAAAATTAAATAAGATTGTTTTCCTTATTAAATTATTAGCATTTCCTGTACTCAATTTTATACTAATGAAAAACATTTATTGAATATTTTCGTACTTAATGAGGGTCACTACAAGAAAAGTGAGCATTGACGATGCGTCTTTTAGCGATGACATGTTTCCGCCACAAGTTATAGCAACAACATGTTGTTATATACCCTTTCTGATGATAAATGGACTTTTAGCGACGACAAAAGTCGTTGCTAAAAGTCTTGTTTCTTGCAGTGAGCCCTGTTTTTACGTTCGCTCAGGGCTTATAAAATGTCATGAATGGGCTAAGATAGAAAAGAGATGGAGAATGTTGGGATTCCCCTTATTGGTAGATAGAAAAGAGACTCAGAATTTTGGGACAAAATCCTAATACAAAGTAGAGGGGATTCTGTGTGTAGATTTGAACCTCTGACCTCCAGAAAGGTTCGTTGGGCCAATGGTGCTTATTCTGTCACATATATTGATTTCAGTACTCTTAGTTGATGCTCACTGCTCCTGTGTAGGAAAACCATTGTCAGCATTGGATGGTATCTTCATGGCAATCAAGGATGATATAGATTGCTATCCTCATCCATCTAAGGGTATGCATCCTACTTTTCAATCATCTATATAAGGCTAGTTTGGGAAATTAGTTAACAAGCTAGTTGCAGGCTGATAAGCTAGCTGAAAACTAACTATATTTCGTGAAAACTAGCTGATAAGTCAGTTGACAAATGTAAAATAATCTAAAAGACACACGTTGAAAATTACTAAATTATAACATCACATAATATAATTAACACATCACTTATGTATTTCATCATATTAAAATAAGTAGTAACTTAAATAAAGAGTTCTCGATTTCTCGAGGTTTAATAGATATTTCTTGCATTTCATATCATATTTACTATATAAAAATAATGATTAATAAGAACCAAATGGGACTTTTTCAACAAGCTCAAAAATAAGCTAGCCTATGATTGCCAAACATAGACTAAATCATAGTCAAGGACAACAGGTGGAACGACATGGTTTCACGAGGTACACAGTGTCGAGAAGGATGTAGTTTCAGTATCAAGGTTACGGAGTTGTGGAGTGATTTTGGTTGGGAAGGACAATATGCATGAAATGGGCCAAGGAACTACCGGAAATAACTTAAACCATGGGTAAGCTTTATACCACAATATAATCAGAAATAACATATAAGTTCCACCTATTTCTTCTTTGTTTGAGTTTGATTCAATTTGTCATCTGGACATTTTAATGACATTAAGAGAACAAGGACTCAGAAAATATGAAAAATTTGTTCAAAAACGAAACAAGAATTCCCTTTGCAATTACAAGTACAATACGTTGTGGTGATTCTCATGTATTTATGCATTTTCTAAACAACAGAAACCACTAGAAATCCACATAATCCAGAGAGGTATACAGGCGGATCTTCATCAGGACCAGCAGCCATTGTAGCTTCTGGAATATGTTCAGCTGCATTAGGAACAGATGGAGGAGGTTGTATACATATTAAAGCAATGAACCTCCATTCTTTCTTGCAACTTAACATGGTGAGTAATAATCACAGGTTCAATCCGTATTCCCTCTTCCCTTTGTGGTGTCGTGGGATTAAAAACAACATTCGGACGTACCAACATCGAAGGGCAAGTTTCTATATATACTCGATCCTTGCATTCATCTTTCAGAACTTTCACAACTGCCAATGTTTCTTGAAAATGTTGTTCAGTTTCTTGAAAAAGATGAGCAGTGAAAGATGTCTTACAGGTTTTTAACTAAATGCCTTATGTTATCTTCATTTCATATTCTCAGAGCGTTATGTGGTGGAAGGACTGTAGAAATTTTAGGACCAATTGCATCCACTGTTGAGGATATCATGCTGGTGTGAGTAATTCCGTACATTTTGAAGTATTACATATACTCATTTGTCATACAGCATAACGTAAAATATCCTATAAAATTTTGATAATGTTAGTACATGAGAAACCCTTTAGAATTCTCTCTAAAGAGACCCTTTATAGCGAAACGTGAGTTTCCTATATATATATATATATATATACACATATACATATATATACAAGTTTGATGGTCCGTGTGACCGTGTCTATCTATGGGAGACTCCAACCCTTTAGAATTCTCTCCATCATGTTCTTTTTACTAAAGTATCCATATTCCTGTTTTAGTTTGTCCCAAAATAAGTAAATGTCTAGTTTCCATTTCTATCCTTAATTACAACATGGAAATTCATTGCTCCCTCTATTGTTAAGGGTAAAATTGTCATTTAGTTGATTAAAAAGTGTAATACTCACATATTTCTGAAACTATGTCTTTCTCATTGTGGACACTTATTTTGGGATAGATGGAGCATTTGTTAAGGAACTGAATTCTGTTCATTGGTTTCTTCAGGTATGCAGCAATCTTAGGAGCCTCTCCTGCTGACCAAATGAGCCTCAGACCGGTAATTAGAGTGCTTGCTCACTTTCCACACACTTTCATAAGACAAGGGTCTTCATGGAAACAATTGTTTTACCCCCCATAGGGTGGAGGACATGTTTCCATACATCCGACCTCCCTCCCCATCCCACCTTGAGGTGGGATATACTGGGCTCGTTTGGTTTGATTTGGTTTACTGGTATATGCTAGTTCTACTGATATATGATTCCTCTATTTTGCAGTGTATCCCGTGTTTGCCTGATCTATCATCACATGAGAATTCTAGAATTCTGGGATCAATGCGGTTAGGAAAGTACAGCGAGGTGATTCCACTCTAATTTTGGATTTTCCATACCCATCATAAATACTTTTGTGAAGACTCTATTCTTAGTATGTCTGTTCTACAGTGGTTCAATGATGTCTTCTCACCTGATATCTCAACCAAATGTGAAGATGTTCTTAATCTATTATCAGAAACTCATGGATGCAAAGTAAGTATACTTCATCAGTTTCAAAGTTTTATCTTATAATCTACTTTTTCCACATTTTCTTATGTTTAACCTTAAATATTTTTGATCAACTGCATACAAGTATAAGAATCAAACCAAACAATCCCAATGTATCCCATCTTTTGGGTGGGGGGTTGAGATGTATGCAGACCTGTCCTCTACTTCAAGAAGCAGAGCGGTTGTTTTCCCTGGAAATTATTTATATACAACTATATATTAAGTATAAAGTTTCTGAAGGAAATTACTTTTTTGCACCCGTTTGTTATGCTGAGAGTTCTTTGTGGTTTAATTCTATCCATTTTTTGTTGAAGATGGTAGAGGTCGTCATACCTGAGCTTCACCAACTAAGAACATGCCATCTTGTTTCAATTGGTTCCGAGTCATTAGCCTCCCTAACGCCTCACTTCCACAATGGTTATGTTTGCATGAAATATTAAGGATTCTATTAGACAAGCTTACATGGTCCATCAGACATTTGATATGTCCTTTTTTTAATAATTGTGGGTGTTTAGGCCACCTTGCATGCACCTCAACTAATCCTATGGGACCCTAAAGTTAACAGCCAAACAAACCCGCCAGTGTGTCTTGGGACTTGAAGTCATGACTTCAGGCCCTAGGGAGGAAACACAAAATCTTACCTGTTGAGCTACCCTTCGGGGTTTATTTGGTATGCTTTTTGGTATTGCATTATGAACCCCCCCCCTCCCTCTTTTCTCTTCTTCCTTTCTGAAAGTCATTTAGTAGGTTACTTCTATTGATTATAACCTTCAGTTTTAGAGGTGTTTGGTTTCATTTCAGTTCACCCCAACTAAGTTGTTATAAAATGCTTGTTACTGTTCTATCTCTTTTCTTATATAGCAACTATAAGAAACTTGCACCGGACACACGGACTAATTTGGCCCTTTTTGGGTCATTCACGGCTTCAGACTACGTTTGTGCGCAACGTCTCAGGTAATGCTAACTTATTTTTTTGTTGAAATGAATTCACATGTACCATGCCCCTTTCAAATCTAATATGCATCCATCCAAAATTAGAGTCAGGTTTTGACTTTTAAGGATCAAATGAGGCACTTCTTGACTGCATTCCTCATGACAATATTTTCGGGTTCTTTCAAAATAAACCAAACCAAACGAACCAGTATATATATGAAGATAGTTAACAAAAACATTATGTGTTTATATGGTTGATTGCAGGCGCAGGCTGATGTACTACCACATGGAGATTTTTCAAGATGGTTGATGTTATAGTTACTCCAACAACTGGGTATAAGTGTCGATATTTTTATCTTTATTTGTCCCAATATAAATGTCCACTTTTAAGAGTGCTACTTTTCAGTTATACCCTTAAGTATAAGATGAAAATTTTATTTCTCCTTTCTTATTAAGGGTAAAATTGTCATTTAGTTCATTAAAAAGTATGATAATTACATATATTTAAAACCGTGTGTCTTTTTCATTGTGGACAGTTATTTTTGAATGGATGAAGTACTTGCATTGATCTTGCTTCTTCCATTATTTTCATAACCTTCAGGCCTACAATCTTTCGTTTTGGAGTTGATTTTAGTAATCTAATAAAAAACATCGACATTATGAAACCACTTGGTTGTTCTTATGGGTTTTTAAAGTTTAAACATGTAAGAATATGTGGAACCCCGTTAAATTATTCTCTAAAAAAACCCTTGAGAAGGGGAGGGATCCATCATATATAGAGGAAAAATGGTCCAAGTCTATCCTATGTGAGACTCCAACATAACATATTGCACTTAATATATATTTTTGTCTTATTTTTTGTAGCATGACGGCTCCTATAATCCGCCCAAGCGCACTTAAATCGGGTGAGACAAATTTGAAGGTAACAGGTGAGTGGAGCAACATTTCGTTTCATAATGCCGAAATTATTGTTCTAATTATTTACTAAAGGGTGTTCGTCTTTCTGGTAATTTGATGCGTTTGACCTTAGCAGGGAATGTTCTTGGACTTCCAGCTATTTCTATTCCTGTAAGTGCAATAAGAATGCGTTTGATATGCAGATGGGACCGGATGAAAAAAATGTGCAAGGTTTTAGGGTTTAAATTTGATATGGGTAGTTTAGTAATTTACCAATCTTGTCTCGTCTTCATGATATTTGTTCCATCTATATTGGTGGGACAGAAAAAAAAAATGCACCCAGTCTAGTCTAATGTTGTGTCAAATGTGAGGCAACAAGTATCTATATTGTCTTGTCCCGTGTCCCAATCGCACCCGAAGGGTGAAGCATTAAGCATAAAATCTACTACCAAAACTTGTTCCAAAGAGGGTCACAACCCACACAATGTTCAGACACAATCCAAAAGATCACACACACTCTTCATCTTTTAAATTTGCAGATTGGTTATGATAAGCAAGGACTTCATCTTTTAAGTTGATTTGGAGGTTATTGGGTCAGTTTGTTGTTATCGACTTGTGGTGTTAGAATCCAACATATCTGTGCTGCAAAGTTGTCAAATTCATCGAAATGCACCATACTAACATGACATGCCTATGGTTTTACAGGGACTACGTGCTGAAACTAAGAAACCTGTGTCATATTTCGACGTTTTGAAGGGGCACTAAGATAGAGAGCAATCTCTCCAGTAAGATATTGCAGACACGTAATAGAGCTTCTGCGCCAATTTTCGTGAGAATTATCGATGTTTTAATGTGATCGTGGGTGTTGGATCAGAACTTTCTATGCATTGTAATAGAGTTTTTAATTCGTATAAAGATATCAACTTTTAATCAATTAGCGGCATCATTAGAACCTTATCTTGCCTCTACAAACAATCAAGTGATTATTATAGAGAGGATTCCTTGTTAAATTCTTTGGTTCGAAACCAAAAGAAAGAATAACTAAGGGGCCGTTTACCAAACGCTTACCCGGGTAAGCGCTTACCAAGTAACATTACCTCACCGCATGAATATGGTAAAGACCAAGAATCTTACCCGGTAAGACCGAGACAAGGACTAAGAGTCTTACCCGGTAAGTGAGGGCGATGACTCTTACCACGGTAAGCGCTTACCGGGTAAATTGTTGCATACGATGTCGTTTTGGTGGRCTAAAATCTTACCCGGTAAGTAAATAATAGTGTTAAATTTTACCGGTAAGCACTTACCGGGTAAGTGTTTGGTAAACGGCCAGCATTTCCAACATACTTTTCCAAAATGAAGAAGAAAATTAAAAAGTTCACATTTTCAACGGTTCTTCCAAAGATTTCACCATAAATTATATCATCAAAATATTCAGTAGATTTAATATCCTAAAAAACTTTCAGACAAATTTTTACATGAAATGATAATACATCCAATTTTATTGGTGAGAACAATAAAAAAAAATCATTTCTCTCTCTTCATCATTTTTAATTTTGAAGAGTTCTCCAAATTTGAAGATTTTTATCCTCTCCTATTTTCTACATTTTTCAAGATATATTTTTTTTACCAAAACACCTTTGGCTCAGCGGTATGCAACCTCCTAGGAGGTCAAGGGTTCAAACCTCACCAAAGGTGAGGGGGTGTGTGAGTTTAGTTGTTCTATTTGTCGAAGATAAATATTATATACTTAAAAAAAGGTTAAAAACTCCAAATCTCTTTTTCTTTTTCTTTTTTTCCATTTTGGAGAGTGTGTTGGAGATGCTAAGAAATGAGAGATATTGAGTTTTCTTTAACAATAATTGAAGTTTTTAGGGGAGTATGTAGAGCATAGCATAAAACCTTTCTATCTAATTCACATGATCATAACAATAAAGTGTTCATCAAGAGTAGCATTACCATGTTTGCAGCATTCATGTTTCAGCTCCTCACTCGTTTCGCACAAAATAGGATTGATGCCATATTTCTAGACTCACACACTAAATGAACCGCCGTTTTAATAGCTGATAAAAAAAAAAGTACTCATCTTTTTATGGTGGTTCATATGGGGGAGGGTGTGAAATTGGTAGAATGTTGCTAATCAAGTGGACCCAGAAACCGGTTCATCGTTTGCAATCTTTTCATCAATGGCGGCACTTGGGATATCTGGTCCGGGAGGAATCTTTCCTGGATAATCAGTTGTTGAAGAATCTGATCCTAACATGCTGCACGAAGAAGGTAAAAACATGAAATCAAGATTTCTTTAACATGCTGGAGGAAGAAGGTACAAACATGAAATCAAGATTTCTTTAACAAAGAAAAAGAGATTAAAATGGAAAACTTCACCTTTTGTCCACAATCACCATGGAACGAAGCTCACAGTTTGCGAAACTGCATATAAATTTTACCAATTTCAAGTTAAAATCATTTGCATACTATGGTTCAAGTTACATAGCAACCAGACTTTTAGTTCAAGCTCCTTGAGGGAGCATTTGATACGCTGGACAGTACAGAACAAAAACTTCTTGTCCGATGTTGATGCAACATTACACTGGAAAATGACAGGACTGATTCGGACAAAAATGCATTTTTTTTGTCCCACCAAAATAAGTGAGAACGAGAATAAGGAAGATGGGACAAGATTGGTAAATTACTAAACTACCCATGTCAAATTAAACCTTAAAAGCTCAGACAATTCTTTCACCTGCCTACCTCACGTCACATCTGGTCCTGTCCCAACCCTAATAGAATGTTTAACTCACGAACCCACAAAATGGAGAATGAAGAGTGACAAACTGAGCGTAATTAAACAATTCAAGCACTGTTTAAGTTTGAACTTAACTTTGAAAGTAAAGCTTACTCTTCAGGCTTGAACTGAAGTTTGTCATTTGAACAATAATATGCAAACAAAATGGAAAGGAGGAACATCTTTAGAAGATGGGATTTTTAGTACGAATGCAATCACCTGAAGAAAGAAGAGACCAAGATAGCAACAAGGTTTTGTGCTTGAATAAACTGAGTTTTAACTTACTGTTTGTTAATTTCTTTCCTCACCAACGGATGGCAGTCACTGCCAAATGTAGCCAGCGTATGAAACAAGAATCCACTGTGAGTTACAATAGCTATCTCCTTTTCTTCCCGTGTCCATAGCCTGTATCATGCATGGTAGTGGTCAGTTGGTTAGAAATATAGGCTATATCCATGTGGGGGTTGGGAAGGGGTGCAGGTGTTAATATGTTCAATATTCCCTCATTGTTAGGACTATGTTCGGCATACTAGCTAGCTGAAAAGCTAGTTGTTGGCCAATAAGGTAGTTGTTAGTTTATAAGTTAGCTAATAACCTAGTCACGTTTGGTAAATACTAGCTGATAAGCAACATGATAATGTAGAATGAGATAAAATGACACGTTGGAAAATTACTAAATTCTAAAGTATAAGAGGCACAATTGGAAGAAAAAAGAAGTGAAAAAAGCACCCAGAGCTTATCGAAACGTTATCTAAAATAACTTTGCAAAAAGCTAGCTTATGGCTTAACAAAAGGGGCGTTTTCAATAAGCACAAAAAGCTAGCTTATGGTTGCCAAACATGGCCTAAGTTAACAATAGACATAAATTGTAAGCAAGTATTTCAGCGATATGTGCTTTAAGTAAGATATAAGATATAGAACTAAGTGCTTGTTAATATAGTGTCGGGCTATATAAAGGAACCTTTGGCAGACATTTTATTCATTTATATTTTTTACCTAACATCAGAGAAAGGACCCATGGCTGTGTTATTTACTTCTCCTCCAAATTCATCAACCACCAGTCGAGAAGCATTCAAAGGTCATTGGATCTGGCAATCCTCCATGAACAACTATCACTTGGAGGGGCTTCATAACCCATTGTCTAGTTGTTAATATTCATCCTTCATATCTGGTTTAGACGGTCTTTGTTCATGTTAATGCTTTTGAGATCTAATTTAGTCTTGACTTTCATTCGCTTGATTCAATTGGCCTTCATTGGGATAAACGATTTGGTTTATTCATTATTAATCCTAATTAAGTTTTGAGGGGTTGGGTTCCAATGAAAAGAAGAGTTAAGGTGAGAAGCGTAAGAAGGGATCTCTACCCTTGAATGCACATTAGGATGCATCGGATCAATCCCCGTATCAAGCGTGATTCATGGGTGGGTTTAAGATTAAAGGTGATCAAGGGTCTAGATCACTTCTTACGCTTCTCACCTTACCTCTCCTTCTCACACGATCCTTTGCCTAAGTTTGAGAGCATTCTTATATCTTGTGACTTACTTTGTCGCCTCGTGTTAGTTGCTTGATGGATTTCCATTAAAATGTTCAAACCATTTAGCTAGCATGGGGTACCCCAGGGATCAGCAATAAATACTGAGTTTTAGTTCAAAGAATAAAACTTCTTATGTCTACGAAAGAACTTTATTGTAACAGGGCCTTAGCTTAGGAACTTTCACCATCTTTTAGACCTTTAGGATGAATCCAAAGGCGTAATCTGTAGGTTTACTCAATTCTATTATAATTCAATGATTGTTACAATGGTGTGTTTCCCACCTCCAAAAATTTCACCCCATTCATATTAGTTTTTATGTTAGCTTTTTAATAGGGGTTTGATTTAGTTTTAAGTTGCTTATTTTGTCTATCGTTTATTCAAGTCACCTTCCGTTGACTTCATAGTCTATATCAATCATGCATTTCTTGTTTACATTGACAAGTACGCTACTGCAACGAGTATGGTGCGAAAGTGCTCGTCCGGGGGGAGGGGTTGAGTCCCAAAAAGTTTTTGTTAAAGGCCGGTTGCATGCTTTTCGCTTATGTCTGAGTTAACTACCTCAGTCCCATAAATTTGCAAAACATTCTGAAAATGTTTCTGTTAAGCAAATGTATAAAAAGTAAAACAGAAACATCTCCTGGACCAAAACTAAAACCAATAAACTCGTTGCAATTTCATGTGCCGTGCCGACCCAATACGTAAATGTTGCAATTTTATCAGATGGATAAGTTCTGGTTCCTTGTGAGCACAAAGAGAATCAGCCAGAGAGATTGTCTTAGATAACCTATGATTAATTACACAGGGAAAGAGATTGAAACTGAACTTACCAATTCAGGAACTGTTTCCCCCTAGATGCAAGCTCTTCTTTTGTCTCCCTTACATTAGCCTTCCATAAAACATCCTCATCACTTTCTATCTGAAATAAGGACACAGAATATACATGAGAGAGACAAAAGAAATATACTAATCAAGTCTTGCAAATAATTTATAGTTCGACTTATTTTCACAAACAATGATGATAACAAAAGAACTTAGGTAGTGACAAGGTCCAGAACAAAGCATTAGTTGCAGCACTTGCCAATGAAAAATCAACTGCCGGAAATAGGCATTGGTATTCACTGACGCTTCTCCTACGATCACAAGGATGAACACCCTGACAACCAAAGAAAATGTTTTTTTAATCCTGCAAATCTTTAAGCCAATGCAAATCTGTTAACGGTATCTCTTCAATGCTACACAGCTATACTACACCCACCAAATGTTCTCGACAAAGTTCTACTGCAACAATAGGTGGGCAATTTACGCTTGAAATTGCAGATCGACCACTCTTTCCAACATTTGCCAGCATCAGTGGTAGTCCATCCACCGTATCTGTGTAGCCCTCCCCACCAAATACTCCAACTGCTGTTTGCATAGTCCTGAAAAGTAAACAAATCAATATCCATAACAAGCCGTTTTTGATATATAGTGACCAAGAAATACTAAATAGAAGAACATGATCAGGCAGTTCAGTAGAAAAAGTAATGACAATCCCCATACTAAATCCCTCAAAATAAGTGAAAAGAAATTCAAAGGGTTCTGTAACATCTTAGGCAAATCCCACATCACCAATGAATAGGAGGACGTTGGGTATGTAGAGTGAGCAACCCCTCCAACTTTGACACATTTTAAAACCGTGAGCCCGGGTTGCGACTTGTGGACAATATGGACAAGATCACCATGTTGGTTGGGTTGTCACAGAATGGTAGCTGTGCTGATCCTTGTCCATCGGGATGGTAGTGCAAACCTCATTGAGGATGATGAGTCTCTAAGGGAGGGTGTTTGTAACATGTTAAGCGAATCCCATGTCACCAATGAATGAGGATGGTAGGTATATATATATATATATAGCAACTCCCCCAACTAATGCTGTGTGCCCAGCATACGACTTGCGAGCAAAGCAAAGGCTCACTGATCCAACTTTTTCGGAAAGGTGTCCCAGGCTATGCCTAGACTAATCCAAGCAAATTGTGAAGAAATCAGCCCCAATAAACTCGGTGGCTCACTTATCCAACTTTAACAACGCCTGTTGGATGAATGTACATAAAACTCGCAAAACAATAAAATCCAAAACCACGTAAATACCATGTTCAGTTTTTTTCCATTTCCTGTGAATTTTGTGCGAGTGTGTGATTATCACTCCTAACATCTTCACTCAAGTGTTTTCTGAGCACAATAAACGTAGATACAACAATGTGATGTTAAGTTTGTTACGAAGTTGAGGTCAAGTGCTTGAGAATGAGAAAATAGAACAAGAAAACTCATTCTCTACCTTCACAAGCAAACCATAACAAATACCATCATATTACCTTAACAAAGGAGATGTAATAACTACATCAACCCTCTTGGCAAGCCCACATGCATGGACATGTTTACGCAAATTTTCAACCTGATACGATAAACAAAATAAGCTTATGATCCAGAAATCAAACATGTATCATGTTTAGTAGGCTTGAAATCTACGAACAACATGAAAAATGGGTAATCGCACACCTGCTGCCAGCCTAATCGAGTAAGCTCAGCATCAAAATACTCGGGAGACATGTATGCTTTATAATCCTTGTCTCCTATTACATTGTGAACTCCTTGTGCATGCCTAACCTGGATTATAAATAATGTGTGATACAAAAGCAGAATACATTCAAACAAATCAGAAAGATCTAAAAATGAATACAACTCTGAATGATAATATAAAAAGCAACTGAATCCCCACTAAATATTTTAACGCCAACCAGGTGAACAGTCTTGGATCGATGCAACGGGTACAAACTTGAAGTTGAATCGATATCCATTTTTGCAACTGCGTCAAAGATATATACAGAAATTAAAAAATTGCAAGAAGTTGATTATGCTGAGAAATATTCAATGATTTGGACAAAAGGTAATGTAATGCCACATTGCAAAAACCATGAAACTCACTTGAAATTCCGAAATCCTAATATTATTTCAATCAAGCACAAATATAATTGCATTTTAATATACAGAAATCTTGGGCATACTTAAGATTATTGCTTGTGAAGAGTTGTAGCACTCATATTTGATTAATTTCTCAAAACATATGATTCTTTGGCCCAAAATCATATTCACTTGTTTCAAGGAAACAACCCACATTTCAAATCATGTTGCCAAACCTACTTCACTTCAAAATCAGATGCAAAACAAATTTAAGATTTCTGCAGAGTTAAAAATACATTTGGTTTGTGGGACTTGTTGCAAATCTTGATGTAGTCAAAGTAAGTTGCATATCGACTCTGAAGTTACAAACACACTTGTTTGACTTTTGAGGTCAAAATTGCAGCCATTTTTTCAAAAGAATGTGGATTGACAAATCCAGTATTCATTGGGGATTTCATACATCTGTGTTCTTATCAATTGGTAACCGAAGCTGCGTTATCCCCATATAATTAACCACGAAAAACTTTCACAAAGCCAAAAACAATCCCAAATCTTAAAACTAAAAGGAAAAACGAAATAGAGTACAAGTTTCAATAATCTTGGGGGCAAAGTACAAGTTCAATGCCAATAATCGAAGGAAATCCGAAATACACAGACATTCATTCAAAGACGAACACACACTTATGTATATCTTGATAGAAATTCAAAAAAAAGGTGGAAATAAGTTAAAGTCCAAATGAAGTAGAAAATGGTATGTGGGTAAGATTGAGAAAAAAGTAAAGAAACAAGTACCGCAGAAGAAGAGAGGATGGTGGAATCGGATTCCAGACGAATAGGAATTGAAAAGGGGAATGCTATGGAGAAAGGAGTGCCATTTTTTTATACAGATAGTGATGGCGATGGTGATCACCGTGCCGATTTGTGGTCGAAACTCCGGATTACTTTATGATTACATTCATGTCATCGCCCTCTCTTTCTCTCTCTCTCTCCTTTGACTCTTTTGTTGACCTTGTGGCTCATTTTCTTTGATGAATATTAGAGTAAATTTCACCAATAGTCCATGAGGTTTGCTCGAGCCCTGTTAATTGTCCCTATAGTTTCAAATTTTACACGAGTTTATTATCGTTTCAATTTGTTTTTCATCATTCGTCTATGCATCTGACGGGCGTTAAGTCTATTAGTTAAGTTAAGGGGCATTTTGGTCATTTTATCATTATCTTTTTTGGTACAAATTTGTGAACCTAATGTACAAGAGTTTAAAGCTTATAAAGCTAAGCATAATTAAACCCACCTCCCTCCATTCTTCGCACTACAACAAAATTGGGTTTATAGGACATCCTCAATCTCTAAACATCTCAATAGACCGCTTTATAGGACTTAATTTATAGGAACAAAATATAAAGCGTCTTATCGAAAGGTGTTGTAATAAGTTTATATGACGCTTGTGGGCATCTTAACAAGATTTTTAGGACATTTTTAATACAAATTGTCGCATTAGCAACTTTATAGGACACTTTATAGAGAATTGTTTCTTTCTATTATTCGGGGATGTGATTAATTTGATGCATTATTCAACACTTATTGTTTATCATTAAATGTTAGTTGTTAAGTGTTAGCGTTAGTATTTGTTATTTGATGCCTGATTGTTAACTTTTTGTTAATTGTTAATTGTGAGTGTGATGGTTCGTTAGTTCATGTCTAATTGTTATTTTTTTTATTAACGTGGATGTCCAACCCGTTATGCGAGCTGACTAATCCCAGGGCGACCATCTACTTTGCAGATAGTCTGGAATCACCGCATTTGAATCTTCGTGGCCACAAGGAGATTTTTATTCCTCCTTGAATTTGAACCTGAGACCTCATACATACATGTACTTTTGACCTTTGGAACCAAACTCAAATCAATCAGGTACCACCCTTGTGGTTTAATTTTTTAAATTTTTAGGTTTAGGATTTGTTAGTTTGCAGCTTAATTGTTAATTGTTTAATGGCAAACTGTTGATTGTTTTATTACTCTGCTATAATAACGAAAGATATTTAAAAGAAAGATACCAACATTTGTAATTGGCAGTGACATCTCATTTTTATATTTTTCTATTCAACTCTTATTATATTTTATATATTACTTAAACTCTGATCCATCACAAAATCCCAAGATCCGCCATAAATCACAGTAAATACATGGTGTCTAATGTGGAGAATTGTCATTCGCGTGTTGTATGACAAAGGTCTCACTAGAATTGAAAGACAAATTCTATTAGGTGGTAATCAGACCAGTATCTTGTATGGGTAAAAGTGTTTAATGACAAAGAGGGCCAATGAGTGAGAGAAAGTTGGAAGTTTTTTTTGAAGTATATAATATTTATATACGACAAATAGAACAAATAAACTCACACACCCTCCTCACCTTTGGATGTTAATGGGGATGCTTATGTGAACATGTTGTTTGACCATGTTGAACATGATACAAATGAGGTATATAGGGCAAAGTTGGAAGTTGCAGCTATTATGGATAACTTGAGAGAAGGAAGATTTTGGTGGGTTGGACATGTTCGTAGGAGACAGATGGCAACACCAGTGAGAATAGCATAAAGCATAACAATCGAGGTGGCAAGGAGGATGTGAGATAAGCAACTGAAGATCAATATGACATCCTTAAACAATAGTTTGTAATTACGAGTTATTTGAATTTGTTGCATAACATGATAGTACTCTATGCTTCAAGACTTGTACTTAAGATATAGGTCTAAATGCTTATTAATGTAGTACAGATATAACACTTTATAAGAGTTTCAGAGACACAAAACGGGAAGATATGCAAACAAGAATGATCTGTACTGACCTAAAATTCTAAAGTTTCATGCCCATTTTGAAAACTTTGAAAGTTAAAGGACCAAATTTATAAATACACCTTTCAGCAGGAACAAAATCAAACTCGGCAACATTGAGCTCACCGTTGCAGATCTCTCTCTGTTCTGCATCCCCCATCTTTCTGTGATGATTAGCAATGGCTACTAAGCTACCTTCAGCGCTGTTAACATGGTTAGTCATCTCGACCTGTTCCCTCATTTTCTTCTACTCGAAACTACTTCCTCTGTACCCATCTTTAAAACCCTCTAAAGTTCCATCATCGCAACCCCCAATACCCTGTAACCTATTCGCCGGAAAATGGGTGTTTGACCCCAACAGTCGAAAACCCATCTATGATGAGACCTGCCCTTTCCATAGAAACGCATGGAACTGCCTTAGAAACCAAAGAGATAATATGGACCGGATCAATTCTTGGAAATGGGTACCCGAAGATTGCGAGCTTCATGAGATTGATCCGCTTGAGTTTATGGGTGTGATGAAGGATAAGAGAATTGGGTTTGTTGGGGATTCTTTGAATGAGAATTTCTTGGTGAGTTTGTTGTGCATACTTAGGGTTGCTGATATGGGTGCTAGGAAATGGAAGAGGAAAGGGGCATGGAGAGGGGCTTATTTCCCTAAATTCAATGTTACTGTTGCGTATCATCGTGCGGTTTTGCTAGCAAAATACGAGTAAGCAACCATGATTACGATCTCAAATGAATTGCTGATCAATGTGTGTAATAAATGTTATCGGAACCGACATCATTTGTTGTGATTATCATCTGTACATTTGAGTCACATACATACATTATTAGTTTTAGATCTCAAACTTAGCACTTCATAATGCACAATTGCTATGGATAAATGTTCATTGTAGTTTATGGAACAAGTTATGAATTTTGATCATCATTTTTCTACAAACAGGTGAGAACCTTTGATAATTTTGACATCAGAAAGTAACCTGTTTGATTCGGAAAAAAGGTAGTAATCTTTGTGAAGCTGATAAATGACAGTAAAGATTGTAATCATAAGTTGTATTTGAGTTCTTATGTTATTTCGTTTGCTGTTGTGGTAGTATCAAGATTAGCTAATAAGCTAGATGACAAACTAAAAGCACATTCGGTAATAAGAGAAGTCCCTGAGTTTATTGAAACGCTACTTGAAGTAGCTTTTCAAAAAGCTAGCTTATCGCTAACCAAATGCGGCTTTTTCAATCAAAAACTAAGCTTGTTTATGGTTCTTTCACAGTTTGTCTGTGTTCTTCAGTTCAGTGGGTTTTCTTCTTTTGCATTATTGAAAGATGGCCTTCTTACTTGTCCTTATTGATTAAATAAAGGGAGCAGCCAAAACAGTTGGAGATCCATGAGAAAGATGAAGTGAAGGGTGTACATCGTGTAGATGTGGATATTCCAGCAAAAGAGTGGGCGGATATCGGTGGTTTCTATGATGTTCTCATTTTCAATACTGGACACTGGTAAAACTTGCAACCTCTATGAAAAATTGCAGTATTTTTCCAAACTTGGAAAGATTTTAAGTTAAAATCATCTATTTGATTACAAATAAATTGGTGGCGTTTATAGGTGGGGTTATGATAAGTTTCCAAAAGAGTCGCCTCTTGCTTTCTACAAAGGGGGTAAGCCAATAGTTCCTGCTCCAGATATGTTGGACGGGCTTCAAATTGTACTCAAGAACATGGCTGCTTATATAGAAAAAGAATTCCCGAAGACACTCAAGTTTTGGCGGTTGCAATCACCAAGGCACTTCCATGGCGGTGATTGGAACCAAAATGGAAGTTGCTTATTCAGTGACCCCCTAAAGAAATCTGAGGTTTGTGCCTTTAATAGCTCTAAGATTCTCCTTATCTTGATCTTGATTTATTTGGTACCTTCTGTTTCCATGTCCTCATACATGGCCAAGTTTCTAGTTTCATATCCATTCATTACTCCCTGTGTTCCATTGAAGTTGCAACAATCTATAAGTCAGTGATGCATAGGCCCAGGGCTTAGGGTGTGAAAATAGGCCCGATTGGGCTTTTTCAGATCCGGGCTTTTTTGGCCTTATTGAATTTTTTTGGATCACTCGGGCTTTTTGTGCATCTCTAAGTTCTACATTGTGAACTTCCCACAAAAATTGCAATATTTCCATTTTCGGGAACTTCTCAAAATTGCAATCTTTGTACAAGGGTCTCCTCCTTTTTCCTGTTCTAGGAAAATATTTTGTTATAAAACTATAAGATGTATTATATCGTACTGATACCTGAACAGCTTGACGTGTGGTTTGATCCCAGCAACAACGGAGTAAATAAAGAAGCAAGACTGATCAATCAACTGCTTATTGAGGCACTGCAAGAAACGGATATTCAACTACTTGACCTGAGTCATCTGAGTGAGTTCAGAGCCGACGCCCATCCAGCCACATGGTTGGGAAAGAAGGATGCCGTGTCCGTTTGGGGTCAGGACTGCATGCACTGGTGCCTACCAGGTGTCCCAGACACTTGGGTCAACATCTTGTGGCAACTTATGCGTTATCAGTTAGCCACAAAATGATGATTTGGGCAATTAATTTCTCGGAACCCAGAATGTTACAGATCTTGCCAAAAGTTGTTTAGATCAAGATTCTTCTGCAAATTTGCTGATGGGGTAGTTGATTATAGAGGAGATACCATACATGGTTCAATTGTGTAGATTAGATGATTTTTACTACTGAATTTGTAGATTCATTACGTGCATTTTGGGTACAGGAAGATCTGTATGCATCTTACCTTTCAGATACTTCTGATGTGTACGTTTGATTTGGTTATTATATGTTTTTGGGGGAGTGTTGTTAAACTTGTAAACAGAAAGAAAACTGATTTGGAACTGATGTTATTTGTTTAGTTCATTGCTCAGTTTTGGAAAGCATATGTTATTTTGTGTGGTTTGTTACATATTATCGGAACTGGGTCGGGTTCCGGTGAGAATAAATTTATAGTGAGAAGTGTAAGAAGATATTTCCACCCCTAGGTCAATTCCCTATATTTTTGATGTATTTTGTCCATATTTTTATAGAAAAATTAATATTGAAATCTGTAAAATAGAAAAATAAAGAATTCCTCAAGAAAGGGCTCCGTGATTATGGTATAGTTTTCTAATGCACAAGGTACAACACAGAAAGCTAATAGGAAAAGGGCGAAACTTGAAGCTATATTATTCACAGTTTCCAAACAAAATCCCCAATTAACCTTCTTCTCCCCTACTTCTCCCCTAAAATGGCCCTAAGTAGGGTTCATCTTCATCTGAATCTCCTTCCTCCACCCCACCTTCTACGATTCACGACATTCCAAACTCACCCGTTTCTCCACTGCCCCAACACCCCTCCAAAACTTCAAATCTCATGTTCCAGTTCCAGTTCCAATTCCAATTCAAGCAGCATCGATGATATAGAGTTAGCGATGGATTTGGCAACAGAGATCGAAAAGATGAACGCCCAGACGGTACAAACTCAAGAAGCCATGAAAGCGAGCAGGAAGCTGCTGTATAAGGAGCTGGGGTTGTACCTTGGATTGGGAAAAGAGGAATTGAGGAGAAAATGGGAGAGAATGGAACAAGATGAAAAATGGATTTTGGCTGAAGAATTCGTTTCAGATTGGGGTTCAAATTTTCATCCGTTATCTGCTAGATCCGTTAAGGAATTGGTCGATCAACACTTGTTTGATGATGTCGATGACGACGACGAAGACGAAGGTAATGCTAATAACAAAGATAGTAGTAATTCATCTCAAGGTTCCTCTTCCTCCCCTTCTTCAACGTTATTTAATGGATTGAAGAAACTCATGGGATTTTAATATCATTTTTGTTTGTTACCATTTCTTGATGATCTCCATGTTGTTAATCGAATTGTGCGATACTTAGGGGTGTTTGAGATTGTCTATAAAAATGTAGGGGTAATAAGCATTTTTTTAGCATTTGGATAAACAACTTATACCGATGTCAAACTAATAACAAGTATTTTTGAAAAAGTTAAACAATTCTTATAATAAATTGACAAAGTGTTTTTATAGAAAAGTATTGTTTGTTTTGAATATTGAAAAATTATATGAGGAGTCTGATATTATTTCTTTGGATGGACCTTGAACAACTACTACCGTAAACACCCATCGGTTGTTATGATTTGGTCAATACGATTATTATGCAATGGGTACAACCAGAGAATGCACGAGATTTCATCTCTTTGGCCTAAATAGCTTTGAGGATTTGAACAAAATCTTATCAAGTATTTCGCAAGCCCAACAAACCATCTGATTTTGAATGGTTTAAGTTTTTAAACTATTTTTTGAATGATAGAACCCTTAAACTTTCTAGAAGCGGTTAAATACATCCTTGTAACCTGTAAAACACAAAACACAGGTTAATGTGATAAAAATTTAAGAAAAGTCTAAAAAAACTCGAGGAACTATCAACCGTTTGACTTTCATGTACACCATTAATCTCACCTTCATCATCAATATCTGGATCTTCTCGAACTTCATGACCAAATTGGTCCTCCAAACTTGAAATTAAACGTGGAAGGATGTCATTTGGCCATGCTGGCCATGGTACACCCGATGATGTCTTTAATAAATATGAAGTGTAAGTAATAATTCACTATAAATATATTGTCATTTGAATACGAATAACAAATAATGACTCGCCCCAATTATTACTTCTCCAGTGATTGGATCATAAGAAACACCCGCATAGGCGCATATGCATACGTTGGTATCCTCCCACTTATGGCCCCTCTTCGACGTCTATTGCCTCTTCCTCCTATAGAGTTTCTTCTTGTTGTAGTCGGCTTTGGAATGTTCAATGGCTTACATTTTGGTTTAGCGGGTTTAGGTGGTGGGTCTTTCTTCTCATTCTTACAAGTTCTAGCATTATGCCCTTTTCCGAACAATTTAATGCATGTCATTGTCTTTCCAGACTTGATTACTCTTGTACCTTGGCTCTCAAATTTTGATCTCTTCTTCTTGATAGATGGTCTGTCAGGCATTCTCCTCTCTTTAGGTGGGTTTGGTTTGATGAAAGGTGTTGGCATCCACATGTTGCTCTCATTCAATGGTTTTATATGATGCCTGTAGACCATTTTGAAGATATCTTTTTTAAACCATTCATTGACATAATCTTTTGGATCCTTGTTGATGAAGTGTATGGTAGCTATGGAATGCACACAAATAATGCTTGATATGCCCCATAATCTGCAATTGCATTTTTTAGCATCTAGATCCACCGCCGTTACTTGATAAAGATTTCTTGTTTCAAACACATTTCCACAGTTAGGGATAACGGATCAATATCTATGTAAGACAAAAGAATACATTAAAATACATTAGCATACATAATCATATTACCATTATAGATCAAATATGTACCTGTGATTTTCTCCCCACTTCTTTAACTGTTTTCCTATGACTAGACTGACATACAACTGATTCCCATTGTTGTGCTTTCTTTGACATTTGGTGGTTCCTCTTCATAACAAATATTTGTATCTCTTCTAATATTGTGATTATGGACTTTCTTCCAACATCAATAATGACTAAATCAAATGACTCACATATCCCATTTTCTACAGCCTCACAAGCCTTATCTTCGGCCATTTTCATGTTCTTTGACTCTGTTAATTTAAAAAGATATAACAATGTTCTTACTGGATTATGAGTGTATTTTAGTCTAGCTCAAATACCAAGTTCGCTCTAAAGGTATAACACCATGGATTGTTCTTGAGCACCATGGAGATGAAAGAGTTGAATTGATAAAATGACTGAAATGTTCTTACGACTACCATTATGATGTGACGATTGATTCAGGGATCAATCAATTATATTGTTTATTTCGTCAGATCATTTCACACATTCTAGCTCTTCGCTTTCATTAAGACATGTGAACTATAGTCTACGAGAAAGGTGCATCATGCCATCATATTTGTCTTTATAGCTATCACCAATGATTTGGATGCCTTGCTCAATCATCACCGTATTTTGGACCACAGTGACCCACATTCGAGAAGTTTCTAAAAGCTTTCACCATCGAGGCCTGCTACCTCATCTATTAAATGTCAATCCCTAAACCTACGTGACTAGAACGACCGCTGCATCTAATACACAAATATATCCAAGGAGGTTAAACCAGTGGTTAAAGAAGTGTGTATTATTGGTGGTACATTTAGTTCTTTGGGTTCCACCGAGAATGTGATGTAGTCTTGCTCAATCACTTTGCTCATCTTTGATGCGTTTCAACTTGTTGCAGTAACGATTTTTGTAGGCTTAGGGTGTTTGATCTCAAATTAACGAGTTTACCATCGAATTGGTTCATTTGGTTATCCAGTTAACTAACTGTAATTGTAAAAGACAGCTTGTTTTACTCAAACATATTTAAGGCACTTGATCGGGTCGAATACAACCGAATTTTTCATAAAGAAAATCTTTACAACAATCCCACCTAGGATTCACAAGAACAAAAAAAGCAAACCCAAAAGACCTTAAAACCAAAAAAATTACGTGAGGGTGCATTTTGCTAATATTTTTATAGTTTAGGGTGTCTTTTGTAAATTATGGTTAGAATATATCCATTGGTGACGTGGACTAATGTAGTTCGATCTTTAACAAGCCCAAAACTAAAAGTGATAGGAGACGAGCTGATGCCGGACCTTCCCGTTAAGAACGAGTCAGTGACTCAGTATTGAATCGGTCTCTTGGTTCCCTCATCCATGACGTCAATTTTGGGTGCTGCCCCTTTATCTCGAACTTTCACACGGCCAATCTTAAATCGCAGCACCCTCTTCACCACTCATTTGAATTCGAATCGAGTTTCGTCTACGAAGATTGTTAATTTTGCCGGATTAGCGTTTGGGCGGTTTTTTTATCGAAGTAAGAGAGGGTTTAGAGGGGGAATTGTGGCCATGGCTGGTTCGGGTTCGGTTCAGAAATCAGAGGAGGAGTGGCGTGCAGTTCTATCTCCTGAGCAGTTTCGTATTTTGAGACAGAAAGGGACCGAGTAAGTAMTCATTTCTTCGATTATGAAGTTGTTGATGATTTGTTGACTCTGTTGCACAAACTAGAGTCCACTTTTGTAAATTTTGAGAAGGTTAGCAATGAACTTACGAGCAGATCGATGAGATGGACTCTAATTATGGATCAGAGCATCATATGATTATGTGTCTGATGGGGGGTTTTTTGGTTGTTCATTTTCTGCCGTTAACAAGTGTTGTTATTGTGGTTTTGTTGTTCTATATTCACATATAGCATGTTGGTTTTCTGTGCAATTATCAAGTTGTTTACTAGATTCATGGTATTCCCATTTCTATGACTTGTAGTTGTAATTGATTTTGACCTAAGTGATCTCCCAGGTTCATTTGTACCCAGAAGATTATGTTATGATCTGGTAGGGTGCATTTGGTACATTGCCTAGCTTGAGTAAGGCGGTGAAAGAACACCGGAAGGTTTTAGGGTTTTAATTTGACCTAGGTTAGTTTAGCAACACTTTACTGATCTTGTTTCATCTTTTCTGTTTTTGTTCCACCTATTTTGGTGGGACCGGGGACCGGAAAAATGCATTTTTGTTTCACTCAAAGTGTGGAACAATAAGTTTTTGTATTGTCACGTCCGTCTACCAAACGAAATGCAGTTCTTGGAGATCAAATGGCATCTTGGAATTTAACTCCTGATTTGAAGTCTGATAGCTTCATAATAGTTCATTTTTGTTGACGTTATCGTAACAAATAACAGGTATCCGGGGACAGGTCAATACGACAAGTTCTATGAGGAAGGAGTGTACTCTTGTGCAGGGTGCGGTACTCCTCTTTACAAGTCCACCACCAAGTTTAACTCCGGTTGTGGTTGGCCGGCCTTCTACGAGGGTCTTCCTGGAGCCATAAACAGTCATGTGAGTCAATTTTTATCCTTTTTGTTTCCTGATTACCTCATCTATCAGTCTAGGCATTATGAGTTTGTTTGCTACTGATGATACCAAATGCATAGAGCACATGATTATCCTGCAAAAAGGATATGACACCACCATCTTGTAAGTATTGGTCCCATGAATGGCTGTGGAAGGTAAATCGCAGTCGAACCCCGGACCCCTCACTCATTCTGCAGGGATGCCCACCTTCTCACCTGCAAGGCTGAAGCCGTGAGGACATAAAGCACATGATTACAATCACTCGCACAATAATACCCTTAGGTCCCTTCTGGTTTGTAAGATTGGATAGGAATTGGATGGATTTGGAATTCAATTCCATTCCGATCCCATGTTTGGTTTGAGGGATTGCGTGGATTTGAAATCCCACCAACAAGTCAAGAATCACCTCTAAAGCAAACGGTGTTAAAACGAAATTAGTATCGCCTATACCCCATTGTACATATATATATATATATATATATATATATATGCTAACAACGAGAAAACGTTTGGTACATAAACGCAGGCTGATCCAGACGGAATGAGGGTGGAAATCACATGTGCAGCTTGCGGTGGGCATCTCGGGCATGTTTTCAAAGGCGAAGGTTTCCAAACCCCAACGGATGAACGGCATTGTGTCAATAGCATCTCTCTCAAGTTTGCACCAGGAAATTGATTCATTCTGGTGTTTTTCCTACCAAAAAATGTAAGGAACTATATATACTCATGTATGGAAATAAATTGTTGAGGTTTTGGAATAATGGTTTGTAATTAAAGTGAGTGATTTTGGGATGTATGTGACATTCATGTCTTTAAATGGTTTATTTAAATCAAGAATTGCAGAAAATGGATAACAGTGAAGATAACTTGGAAAGTGCCACTTTGATGTAAGTATTGACTTCACATATGGAGTGAACCAAAGGGTAAGCGTTTAACAAGTCACATTACTTTATCAGATGAATATAATAAGGACCAAGAATCTTACCTGGTAAGAACGAGACAATGACCAAGAGTCTTACTCAGTAAGTGAGGTCGATGACTCTTATCACGGTAAGTGCTTACCGGATAAATTGTTACATGCAATGTCGTTTTGGTGGATTAAAATCTTACTTGGTAAGTAAATAATAGTGTTAAATTTTATCGGTAAGAACTTAGTAGGTAGATATTTAGTAAACGGCCCCTTAATATGGATTAAATGGGATAATTTAATGGACAGATTGCGTTAAAATGAAACTAAGGTTGTTTTCGTTCTAGTTTTGGGGAACCACCCAAATGCATATGTTTTCGTTTCTATTTTGGAGAACATGATTCGGTGTGTGCCATCAAAATAACTGGCCTCAACCAACGTCCCGAGGATGATAGTAGAAAACCGATTGAAACCGTAATAAATGAAGAGACAGAGACAAAAACAGAAATTTCAAACAAACCCTAAGGACGAAAATAGTAATTTACTCCTATATATATTATAACATGTAATAGTAATTTATTGTGGTAAGAGTCGTCGTCCTCACTTACCGGGTAAGACTCATGGTCCTTGTCTCGCTCTTACCGGATAAGATTCTTGGTTCTTGTCATATTCATCCGGTGAGGTAATGTGACTTGGTTAGTGTTTACCCAGGTAAGTGTTTGGTAAACGGCCCCTTAATGTCTATCCCTAAAGTAACAACTCAAGACTCAACCCTTCTAGTGCCAAATTGGAAAGTTTCATAATGAAAATATCCAACCAATCCACATTTAGATAATTTGTCGTGCATTATGTCATGTAAGGAGGTTTTGACCTAGAAGGAAAAGCGTAGCGTAATTTATGGAGGATAAAGGAGGTAGAAATAAGGAGTAAATGCAACAATGAGCTGAAAATCGACATTTAATTAATGGGTCTGGGCATGCCTGGCGATCCTGCCAGGCGATTGTCCCCTTGGTACTGTCGCAGGCACTATCATCCGGATTTTACCGAGACTCCTTCCCTAATTGGCGACCCTGATAGCTATTATGTCCAGGTGGCCCCATCATCAGGCACAATAGCCCCGTTTGTACCAAAAGTTTCCTTCAATTTCATCTTCTCGAATCCCGTTCCTTGCTTAGCATGATGCTTAAACGCAACCAAACAACAAGATACCTAATTTTAGCTATCCTAAGGATGAAATAACGATAAATATAGAACTTTGGGATTTTTCTTACTTGAATTTTTTCGGGCATTACATTATGGCATGCATGCACATGTGAATGAGTCACTGCATTCAAATATATGCATACAAAATGGATTCAAAAGATGAATGATGTAAAACTTTTACATATTCACATACGCTTACAACTCCGAAAATACATATTTCTAAAAGATGAACGAATGAATAATGTTACCAACGTGCATATGCATAAAACACATAAAAATTAATTTAATATTGTTAAATATGCAAATGTACTTAAACCCCCAGAAAACTAGTATTTACATTTTGTTACATATCACATGCATATAAAAACCTAGGGAAAAAATAATCAAATATTGTTGCTATGCATATATGCATAAAACTTAGAAACACAAATTTCAAAATATGAATGATTGAGTATCATTTTCTATGCACATGTGCATAAACCCAGAAAAAAGCTTAAATTTTAAAAAACATGAATTCTGAAAACAACGTAGGATGGTTCTTGGTCCAATTAAAATGAGAAAGTGTGGATTTTGCAAACACAACCTAACTTAAACTAACATCGAAGTCATTTCATTGACGGTGGGTTTCGGTTATCTACTTCAAGATCAAAATAAGCACCTTTTTTGTTAGTAATCAGACTTCAAGTCTCTCGTTGGCCAATCTGGAACTCCTTGACCCTCCTGGAAAAAAAAAACGAATCTAGGTTACGACATTGCTTCAACAACGACAATAGGGCTCGAAAACTTGGTAAAATCCTTATCTTCACCAGATAATATATTTAGAAACGAAGATGTTAAAACTCTTAGAAGAAGAAGGTTGATTTTCAAACAAGGTTTTGCAAATTTTCGGTTTTGAATCAACACTATGAGTTGGGTAATTGGTGATGATTTGGATAATGGTTAAGGACACCGATTTTGATTAAAATGGAGCACTAGTTAGGAGAGATGAGATCTTTCCTAAAGGTCAAAAATACCATGAGGTCTCAGGTTTAAATCCAAGGAGGAATAAAAATCCTCTTGTGGCCACGAAGGTTTAAATGCGATGACTCCGGGCTATCTGTAAAGCAGATGGTCACCCTGGGATTAGTCGGCTCGCATAACGGGTTGGATATCCAGGTTAATAAAAAAAGTTAGGAGTTCATGATTCCAAACCTTTGTTTTCATATACTACCCTCCAATGCAACATATTTGGTTATTTAAATGTCCTTAATTTTTGAAATATTTACAAGATTGTCATTACATTAATGACTTATTGATCTTTTTAATCAAATGACTGTGAAGGTGTTTGATGTTTCTTGTTTTTTTTTTCCTCCTAACCTTTCTATACATATGTGTGTATAAGGCCAGATTCAGGAAAAAATGGTGAAAAAAATAAAAAAACTGTGGAACACTCTAGTAAACGTTAATCTGTACGGTAATGCATACGTGCATATAAGTATTTTGTATGTAAATTTTCTGGTATGCACATGTGCATAACTTACATAAAAATGAAAAAACCTCTTCAATTACTTGTATGCACATGTGCATACTGTAGAAATGAACGGTTACTAGAGTGTCTTTAGTTCTTCATTGCTACCTATGCCTAGATCGTGGATAAATGGAGTTATCAACACAAATCCTTATCCATATATCTATTACAAATACAAGTTGAAGACAAGAAATCAAAGACAAAGAGGAGAAAACATTTTATTGAGATATTCATAATTAATATGAATACATTAAATAATAGAATATAGATATTTTTTGGGTTCTCCCTGAAACCTCCCCCCTCCCCCTCCCCCTCCCCCTTTCCCTTTCTCTATATATAGAGAGAAAGATGTGAGTTTTTATGCAACTCTTTATATATATCCAACCAATACAATTCAATCTCAACCGTCCATTTAATTTGATGAATATGTGATTTCATAAAAGTTTAGATTGTTTTCTAATATAAAGTATTGATCATAATTAATGAACTCTAGTTATCTTTCATAAATATTCAAATTATAATAAATGAACTCTCGTTATTTTCATAAATATCTCAATTAATTGGATTGCATTGGTCGTACAAATGTGATGAGTTTCATTTGAAACATCCTCTCTCTCTCACTCTTTATATATATATATATATATATATATAGAGAGAGAGAGAGAGAGAGAGAGAGAGACGAATGATCTTGTAAGAAAGAGAGTTAACATGAGAAATGAAAGAAGGGATCTGGACCTTGATCACCTTTGATCTCAAACTCACCCATGAATTGCATTTGATATGAGAATTGATCTGGTGCATATCAAAGCATCTCATCTTGGTACATCTCATCCTAATGTGCATCGAAGAATGAAGATCATTTCTTACGATTCTCACTTTAATTATCTTTTTCACCGGAACCCTCTCTCTCTCTCTCTCTCTCTCTCTCTMTATATATATATATATATATAGTCGAATTCAAACGAGAACGATATTTATTTAAAAGAATAAGAGAACGATCGAATCACATGTAATTTTATACTAACATCACAAACAAAAACACATATGATTCATGCAACTTTGCCCCACAACCTGAAAACGCAGCCATAAGGTTGTCCACACATGTGATTTTGCATGTAATTTAGTCGTTTTGATATTCTTTTAAATAGTTAACATTCTCGTTTGATCATCACTCTCTCTCTCTCTTTATATATATACTATATATATATATATATATATTTATATATTAGATAGTAAGAGGTACAAATAAAAAGAACAAATATTATGATAAGTTAATAAAATAATCATATATAAATAATTAAATAAATATTATATATATATGCATATTTTATTGATGACATAAACATAATATATTCATTAAAATGAACTTGTAAAAGTTATCCAAAATAAAAAATTGAAGTAAAATATATTCAACATCATATTAATTGAAATACGTTTAAAATGAATGGATTAAATGACGTGGATCCACCAATAACAATAACAACTCCTCTCTTCAAAATCCAATTTCCAGCCATACATGACGTCACCTATTTGTTTCTTTTCTTCACTTATTTTGGTTTTCCCTCTGTCTTCGTGGAATCATGCCAACGACCAATTTTAAACCTAAATCCTTCTGCAAAAATCTGTTTTTTTTATAAACATATTATCAATGAATTTTTTTTAATTAACTTGGATATCCAACTCGTTATATGAGCCAACTAATTTCAGAACGATCACCTGTTTTGTAGATAGCTTGAAGTCATCGCATTTAAACTTTCATGATTACAAGAAGATTTTTATTCTTCCTTGGATTTTAAACTGAGACCTTTTAATATTTTTAACATTTGAAATCAAACTCAAACCAATCAAACAGCTTCCTTATAGTTATTATTAATGAATTTTATTGATTATATTATTTTTAAGGAAAATAATAAAATAAACCCAGTGGCCGTTAATAATACTCTAAAAGCTTCGATTTTTTCTCACGAGGAGGCTTCAACGTGTGGCCACTCTTTCTTTTTTACTCATACACACACTTCAGATATCGAGACCAACATCATCATCATCATCATCTTGCTGAAACAAGAAAACCCCAATATTCTTGGAGAATCAGAGGCTTCTTTTTGCAAATGTCTTCTGCAATCTCCCTCAACACAAGATTAATCCTTATTGTTTCGTGAGCTTCATCATCTTCTATAAATGCTTGAAGCAATTGCTTCTTGTCATGCTCCCATGGTAAGCATCTTGAATTCCATCTTCTGCAATTTCTTTGGTTTATACCCAAATCATCAAAATTGATAAAAGAATATTATTAGGGTATGATGTAGTTGCTGTCTTTATGAATGAGAAAAGACTCTTTCCCCCTTTTCGTGGGATAATAGAAGGATCCTACATTTGAGTTTAGGGGAATCTAATAAGTCAACTTTGAGTATTCAAGATTTTTGGTCATCTTTTTCACAAACAAGATGGTAGGGAATGCATTGTAGGTGGTTATGCCATCAAAGGTTTCTTGTTCGCAAATGAGAGATAAACAGAAAGTACCAAAAGCCATAGGTTTGGTGTAATCTAAGTAGATAACTGGGGCTTACTGGTTCAGCCAAGAACTAGAAACCGAACACAGGGATTGTCCTTGGGCATGGTGAAGAACGGAAAAGGACTTCAATTGTGTAAGTTTATGGCAAAATCTAATGGATGGGATCTCATACTATGAAGTAGTGCTTGTAGGTCTCCCATTTTTTGGTAACCTAGCATATTCGGGCCAACTTGTGCGCACGTGGGCTAATCCTTAGAGCTATGAAGATAACAGCAGGAAAATCAGCAGTGGCCCCCAGGAGGACTTATGGGGAGGAGCCAAGGCCTATTCTTTACTTGCCTGTTGAGCTGACCCTCAAGGTTATTGTAGGTCTACCTTATGGATCATTCGTGGTGGTCTAGTGATGGGGCTTTCGAACATTGTTTGTATGTGGTCTTGTAGAACTTGCGTTGACACTAACTTTAACCAATATTTGGGAACACAAAGGGTGACTCCCATGCTGAATTTGGATATCGAAATCGCAAGTCCATCATCGTTTTTGGTTTGAATAGATCAATAGGGTAAACTGAAACTTCTTTTAGGAATGAAATATGGATCAAGGCTTGTTATTAGAGCTCTTCAACAAATGAGATGTGGTACTAACAACTTCCTCTATACATAACTTTTAAGACCACCAAAATATACATCTCAAGGTGCACATAACTAGTTAAGTTGCAAGTGCTTGTGAAGATTTTCTTTTTGCTTCATATGATATGCCATATTTTCTATGGTTATCAATGTATGTTTTTCTTGTAGGGACATGACCTTATCATTCAGCCAAGCATTGTAAGATCTAATCTTCACTCGCCACACCTTTTCCGACACCTTTATTATGGGCCAAATCGCTATGACAAGCAACTGTATACGCCAGCATTTTCCACCTGTCGCAGGATACAGTATTGCTGTCACACGGCTGCAAAACTGCCAGATGGTGCACCTCTGTTAACATCCTCATTTCTTGGTGGGAGTCGATCTCTTATCTCAAATCATAGACATTCTCAGAGAGGGGGGAGATTTCGTATGAATGCAACGCTTGATGTTGGTGGAGCCGTTGAGGTCATTAATGATCTAGGATTGGATACACTGACATTCTTAGCTGTTACTGTCTTGGTGGTTCCTGCCTTCAAGATCGTTAAAGCTAGCCCTGTAAGCCTAAATTCAAACTTCTTCCATGTTTACTCTTAGTTTATACTCTATTTCGTCCCAAAAAAAAAGAGTCCATATTTAATTTCCAGGATTCAAATGTAGCACTTACTTCTGAAACCAAATTCGACATAAAATATATGAAGTTCTTTGATCTCCAAAGTGCTTCTGTATACATTGTATAGTTGACTTTTTAGACTAAAGACTTCTTTATCAATTCTGAAGGTAAAAGATAACTCATTTGACTGTAGAATTCAAATGTGGACTCTTTTCTAGGAAGGAGGAGGTATACCAAATACTTATCATGGGTTCTTTTCTTAAAGATAACCAACGGATATTGCATGATATGACTGTTTCAGATACTTGGTTTCTTCTTTGCGGGAGTTGTGCTCAATCAATTTGGCTTGATTAGAAATCTTACAGACGTTAAAGTTCTTTCTGAATGGGGGATCCTTTTCTTGGTAAGTTCGTATCTTAATCCATCCTTTTTGCTTCTTAGTTCAGTCTGGAAAAAAGAACATTAGGATTATGTAATGATTCAATCATGTTTTATGGGTTAAATGGCTAAATATCTATTGTCAGATGTTAAGTAGCTCTAATTCAGGCTTTGTTGCACAACTTATACTTGATGCACTTTTTGAGGTTGTTAAATTACGTCGCTGCCACAATTTTTTTAAGTATTGTTATGGCCACCTAATCTAAAAGATCCGTCCTTTGCTTGTGTGAGTTCACTTTCTTGCACCAACAAGTTCGGCAGATAATTTGGGTATCATCTTTGACTTTTATCTGTTGCCTTGCAGCTATTTGAGATGGGCTTAGAGCTTTCGCTTGCACGTTTGAAAGCTCTTGCTAAATTCGCATTTGGGATGGGTTTAACCCAGGTAAGATTTGCCAAAATTGAGATTCTCATACTTCTGCTCTTCATAATTATCTTATATAATTAAGTTGCTAATTACTTCAAGATCTCAAATAAGTTTTTTAGATAGTCTTACTGATTAGTCATCTACGTCTTGTGAAAGGTTGTTCTCTCTACTCTTGCTTTCACGGCATTCGAACTCCCACCTAACGGGGCTATTGGAACTCGAATTCTGGAGTTTCTTTTTCACTCGAGGTCTGATTTGGTGAGAAACTATTTTCCGGTTGATATCTTAATTTATATTCTGTTGCTCAGTGGTGAGCCCCTATTGTTTTGCTATGATACACAGATCGACACAGTGGCTAACATCAACTGAATACTTGGTGGTTATTATATTCTGTTGAGGCAGCAAATCAAGAGAGAAAATATTAAATTACATATCATTTTTCTTTTCCTTTCCAGATATTTCTCAAAATTTGAGCAGTTCAAAGCCATGATTTTTGCCCAAAACTGCTCACTGAACTTGGATTGAAGAATGACACACTCCCTACATCCTGAAAAAGGAATCCAGCTTTGATTTTAAAGATTCAAGCCTAGTTCTTTCCAAGTTCAACACACACACACACACATATAGATATATATAGACACACACACACACACACACATATATATATATATATATATTCTTGCAGTATATATACGTATATATTCTATCTCTTTTATCTCCAAAATGTTTCTATCTTAATAATTGTTGTATATTTTGAATGTAGTTATCAAAATTTTGTACAGTAAGTAAAAAGTTCTTGTCAAATTTGTAGTTGAAAGCAATTCTGACACTCAAGAGCCAATGTTGGACTCTTTTGTTGATGCAGAGTTAAGTCATAATAAACTGTATTCTGTTTTAATATGTGTGGTCGTTAATTGTTGGTTTAAAAGGATTGCAGGTGAACATCAGAAGTATAGATGAGGCTATAGTGATTGGTGCTGCTCTCTCATTGTCATCTTCTGCATTTGTTCTACAGGTATTTTTATTTTCGATACACATTCATAATATTAAATCACTCCATTTTCATTCATGTTACTCTCGCTATGACTAATAGGTGATTACGGCACCCAAACACAGGTATCTGGTAGTGGCACCAAACCAAACTAGCCCAGTATATCCCACCTGCAGGTGGAATATTCTGCTAATATTAAGAACAAGGAAAATCCTTACTTTGTAAAAAGATGTTGGTTTATAGAAGATGAGACATCCATGGAAGCAATTGTTAAACTAGTAAACGTTCTAATATTCACAAAGGTGATGGTAGATGGCATACATATCACTTTGGAATGTTCATGATCGAGTATCAATCTGCTTTCACTTGTATTTCTTTGTCTTCATAAGTAGTTGTTTGAAATAATACATGGAAACTTATATATTTAGAACTAGCATTGGTTACTTCTTGTGCTCAAGGAATTTAATAAAAAGTTCAATTCATAATTGGTCAGCTACAATATGCTTACTTAGTACAATGTAGCTTCTTGCAGAGAGGGGTGAGCTACCAACTCGATTCGGCTCAGCTACTCTGGGGATACTCCTACTCCAGGTTCGATTTTCTTAAAAAGCTGGCTTCATGATTCATGTGGCTTGATTACTAAAGCCTTTATGGGTCCATGTGGCTTTATTTTTGCAGGATATAGCAGTCGTCCCTCTGTTAGTCATACTTCCGGTGTTGGAGAGCCAGGTCAAAATATCACTTGGCATTCTTTGATATCGAGTGGTTTGAATTCTAGTCTTGCTAATTTACATCTATTATCTGCAGAACATAGTAGAAGAGAGTATTTTGCCAATGCTTGTGAAAGAAAGTTTGAAGGCTTTAGGTGGATTAGGTTTGCTTTCTCTCGGTGGAAAGTTCCTTCTTAGGCGTGTTTTTGAGGTATGAAAAATCCCATGTTTTCAAGAAAACGGAGCTTTTTCAAGTACATGCTGCGGAAAACAAATTATATTCATATGTCTCAGGTTGTTGCAGAAGCAAGAAGCTCGGAAGCTTTTGTAGCACTCTGTTTATTAACGGTTGCTGGAACATCACTTATAACTCAGAAATTAGGCTTCAGTGATACGGTCTGATTTATTTAGTTTTACTTATTAGTATATTACAGATGTGGATGAAATGAGTCTTTTCGTGGGTTATTTAGCTGAATGACCTCCTGACAAGTGCTTTTTAAATCCATGACTTCCCGACAAGTTTCTGGGCATTCTTCTGTTAAGTAGTGACATTCTCAAACCTGCCAGAAGGTCAATTATTTAAAAAAAGAAAACTTGTCGGAAGGTCAGTTAACCAAAGGACCCTCTTTAGGTTCGTTGCTAAATTGGCATAATTGTTCAGCTTGGAGCTTTTTTAGCGGGGGCTCTGTTGGCTGAAACAAATTTCAGGACGCAGATTGAAGCGGATATAAGGCCTTTTAGGGGATTACTTCTTGGGTTATTCTTTGTAACGACTGGAACATCTATCGACACGCAGGTATGTCTATGAATTTAAGTTTCTAGTGAAACTATGCTAAGATGTGCATAAATACTCGTTCGTGTTCTTAGGATCTGGTAATATGTACAAAAGTGTATGAGTGGCCGAATGTATTGATTAAAGGAATTTCACAAAACCGAGTCCTTTTTTTCTTGTGCAGCTACTTATCCGAGAGTGGCCGAATGTATTGTCACTATTAGCAGGTTTAATTGTTATCAAGACCCTGATTATAACAGCAATCGGTCCTCGTGTTGGATTAACTTTGCAAGAGAGTGTAAGGATAGGATTGCTTCTTTCTCAGGGTGGTGAGTTTGGATTCGTAGTGTTTTCCCTTGCAAACAGGTTAGCGCGTGTTTTTTATGCACGTATTTCATTTTCATAATTCTCATAGCCTTCTGGTCGGGGTCTTATCGAAAACAGCCGCTTTACTCTTTCAGGGTAGAGGTCAGGTGTGCGTACGTCTCATCCCAATACCCCACCTTCGGGTGGGATATACCAGGCTCGTTTGTTTCTTTAGTTGCATAACCTTCCAGACTTGAATATTTCACGACTTTGTAGGCTAGGGGTGTTGCCGCTCGAGCTTAATAAGCTTCTTATAATTGTTGTTGTGCTGTCAATGGCGCTGACCCCCTTGCTTAATGATCTTGGACGGAAGGCTGCTGAGTTTATTGGTGAAAATGTCGATGCAGGAGATGTAAGCTATTTGGTTTCCTTCGACCCTCTCTTTTCAAATTGTACTCGATGTTTTGAGTGAGCAAATGACCTTTATGACCCAATATATTGATTCTATTATGTGGAAGTCCTATTTACCATATGTTACCGGTAGTAATTTCTTGGTCATTAAGCGTGCGTTTGATATGAGGAAAGGGCAAAAGAAACACGTTGTTCCACATTTGGCGCTACATTAGAATGGGACATGACAAACTTGAACGGGACAAAATGTTTTTTTTTCTCTCACTGAAGTGGGTGGAACAAAAATAGATGAGACAAGAAACGTAAATTACTAAAGTCCCCATGTCAAATCAAAACCCTAAATCCTTCCACAATTCTTTTACCTGTCTGCTTCACTCTCGCCCATCTACTCCAGTCCTTTCCATTCTCGTCTACTCCAATCTGTCAGCATACCGAATGCACCCTAGCAGTCTATGTCTATGTATTTATATGATGACTTTCTAAGTTTGGCTGTAGAAAACTGCTGAAGAGGCAATTTTTGACGCCACTGAACCAGTTGTTATCCTCGGGTTTGGACAAATGAGTCAGGTACAGCAGTTCCTCTGCTTTTCACTTGTACAAGATACATACGTTGGTCGGACTTTTTCGAGCTTTTTAGCATGCAGGTTCTTGCCAACTTCCTGTCCACTCCACTGGCTTCTGGACTAGATGGGGATGCTGGATGGCCTTTTGTTGCCTTCGATCTTGATCCGACTGTAGTAAAGGTTAATTCTATTTTATATACGTACATACGTTGAAAAGGTTACATCTTTTGACCCAAATGTTGCCAATATTCTGAAGTTGAATTTGAAGTTCGAATCATTTGTCTTAAAAATGGAGCAGGCATCTAGAAAACTTGGTTTTCCTATCCTATATGGTGATGGGTCGCGTGCAGCTGTTCTGCAGTCGGCTGGTATATCTTCTCCTAAAGCCGTGATGGTTATGTATGAGGGAAGGCAGAGGGCAGTCGAGGCTGTTGAACGGATTCGGCTTGCATTCCCTGCAGTAACTTTCTTGAACCTAAGATAACAAACATTCGATTGATCTTTGAGTTAAGTGTATCCTAAAGGAACTCGAATATACAGATACCTATATATGCTCGAGCTCAAGACATCCCACATCTCTTAGATCTGAAAAAAGCAGGGGCAACCGATGCTATTCTTGAAAATGCAGAGGTATGACACCAGTTTCATGCTTTATTCATGATGAATAACTCTGAATATTATTCATCATGAATAGTTGGTTATCTGGTTCTCAAAATATTTACAGTTCTTAATTGAGCATGCCCATTGTGAGCCAATATTGCTCAGCTATTCTAACATAAATCATCGACTTAATCCATGCAGACAAGTTTGCAGCTCGGCTCAAAGCTTCTGAAAGGGCTTGGCGTTATGTCCGATGATGTATCCTTTTTAAGTCAACTTGTTCGGGACTCAATGGAGTTGCAAGCTCAAGCAATTATCGTACCCAAGGATCCTGATCCTGATGCTATGAAGCCACTACAGGTGCTGCTGATATTATAACACATGTTTTTCCCTCACAAAATTATGAGTTTTCTTTTTTACCAAAGGGTCGGTGGGCCAGTAGTATCCAGGTTACTGGTAGAGCTTTAAGGGGTTGTTTGGCAATTGCTGAATGGTTTGGTACAGAATGATTAAGTGGTCAAAATAATTAAGAGGCTCTCATGATATAATGCAAAATGAAATATAATTGTTTGGTAATTATGTACAATGAAATTAGGGCTCTTAATGGTTAAAGGAGATCCAGGATACAAAATGATTCAGATGGTTTTAGAACCATTAAGAGGCAAACTTTTTTTTTGACAAAACAAGATTCACCTCTTAACGATTCAGATGTTGCCTCTTAATGGAACTATTTAGAGGTAAACAAACAACCCGGTCAATGTTTCAAACCTCATCAAAGGTTTTACATTTGTGCAGTTGAGAGTTGCGGATTTAGTAGCGACGAGAAAACCTGTATCTGCGCTCTCGGGAAAGGAAGAATCGGTAAGAATCAGTCTGCCGGAGAGAGACCGCATCTTAATGACACAAGAGAAATTGGAACAACCGAAGGAGGTCCCTCAAGGGGAGGATGGGAGAGGCGTGTTATATTGCGAACTGGATTCAGACGACGAAGGTCCAAACCGACACACGAGATCAAACTTATAGATTCGTTGAATTATGTTGTGAGATTAAGTTATATACATACATTGATCGTTAGACATGACAGAAAATGGGATTGGAAATGAGGTTTAAAGGAGAAGTGAAGTTAGGAATAATGTTGTATATAATTTATTCCCAAATTCAAAACAGATTTTGGCTCTATTTCGTGTGCGGAAAACGACCGCGATACGGATCGTTTGTTTCCCGGAACTATAAGAATCGACCTCTATATGTACAAATTTAAAATACGGACTTATAGAGAGCACATAGTTACTTTAATTGACGCAAATGTTTCTGTAAGTTTGGTTGTTTAGGAGTAATCTATGTAACTTATGGCACTGTAAACTTATCTGTCGACTCTTTATCTGCCCTCTACCCCCAAACACTTGCCGTCTACACTGATCCATATATTTTTGTAAATACTGCAAAAGCAATCAAACAAACCCTGTAAATCCCACACGAAATAGTATCTTCAGACAATAAGATGTATGTTGCTTTTTCCTCTGTTTTTGGGAGTAGAGATTGTTTCCATAAAGACCCTTGATGTGATAAAAGTTTTTGCAAACCGTAAAGACCAACAAATGCAAGGAAATAATTTTAGCCGAGTACGCACAATAAACAACGTGAAATAATTTTAAAACAAATATGGACGTTAAAAGCAAAAAGGGATGTAAGAAGCAATCTAACAAGTCTCACGAAAGTCCCGTTCCTGACAAAACTTGCACAAAGGCTCTTCCTGACTGCCATATCTATCAGTTGTAGAACTTTGATACATACCTGTCAGTTTTCTAACCCTCCCAGATTAACCACATCCCTTTACATATATTTTGTTAACGACTCCTACATCTTCACAAAACTTTGAAATCTTGTTGCCTTACCAAGAATACTAAAAAGTTTATGAAAGCAAAAGTCTGATCAATAATATGAAACTTGTATTATTCCCAAGGAACTTGAACATCTCAATCATTCTTGCATCAAAATTAAATGAATCAGTATGTGATGGGATTTATCAGTATCTGTTCCATTCTTTTTAACATTCATTTAAACAATCTATCGATGCTTGTTATCATAAATAAGAGGGAAAGATATTGGTTTGATGCTAAAATGGTTTAATTTTTGGCCTAATTACCTCAAACTTTATAAACTATAAAGTGTTTTGGGATCTTTGAAGTGAAGGTAAGGGGCCGTTTACCAAACGCTTACTCGGGTAAGTGAACATTAAGTCACATTACTTTATCGGATGAATATAATATGGTAAGGATCAAAAATCTTACCCGGTAAGAGGAAGACAAGGACCAAGAGTCTTACCCGGTAAGCGAGGGCGACAAATCTTACCATGGTAAGCGCTTACCGGGTAAATTGTTGCATATGATATTGTTTTAGTGGATTAAAATCTTACCGGATAAGTAAATGATAATGTCAAACTTCACCAATAAACGCTTACCAGATAAGTATTTGGTAAACGGACTCTAAGTGCCAAATGATTATTATTAATACATATGTTTCTTTGATCTTCTTTATGATCTCCCAACACTTGAGATTTAGGACCCATGTGGGATGTTTCACCAACTTGGCCAGTGCTTTTTATATATAAATATTAAAAGTAAATTATTATAAACTATAAACCATAAGAGTATTCTCTTATTAGTTTGAGTTTGGACTCTAAAAAACAAAATTATCTAGAGGTCCTGAGTTCAAATCTAAAGAAGAATAAAAACTTCTTCATAATCACATAAGTTCAAATACGATAGACTCCAGAGTCCAGACTAACCATAAAACAAGTGTGAGTTCAAATACGATGAGTCCAAACTAACCGTAAAACAGGTGATGGTGATCCTGTGATACCAAAGGTAATAATATAGTCAATAATTTATAAAGTTGGAGAATGACATCTAAAATTACGAGATTTTCAAGGTAAAGATGGGTCCTACCCCATAATGTAAGTTGAGAAAAAGCTGTCAACTCTTTCTTTCACTTGAAAAGAAAAGATCACAACAAATCCAACTACGATTCCACAAAAACTCTTTCACTTCGCATTCCTCCAACCTCTAAATTCATCATCAATCCCTATTCTTGTTATCAAATTTCAAATAGGGACGAATCCATCGAGGGTTTCTCAAACACTTGCCATTCAAGTCAATACAAAAGTCTATTTTGCTTGATACCCACATCAATACATATACTCACTACTATGGAATAGAATATATATATATACATCTACATCTATACACACACTAAAACACGCACATACATACATATATAGTTAATTATACATGGGTGTTGAGGCGGGGTCTGATACGGCGGTTCAAGATCAAGAATCAAACCCTCCTGCTGCTGCTGCTGCTGCTGCTGCTGTTGTTGTTCCGGTTGAGACTGAATCAGACATGGCTAAAACTTCTACTTCTTCATCTGAACCTGCTCCTTCTTGGTTCACACCTAAAAGGTACCATCTGTACTTTCTTTCTTTTTTATTAACCCACCCAGATGAATGTGAGAATTCAAGTAATTTTTTGGGTTTTTTTTTGGTATTCATATTTCAAATTAATTGGTTTATTCGAATTGGGGTTTGGGGTTTATTTGTGTTGTTGACGTTTTATAATTAGGGTTTGAGTTTTGATTCTGTTTTTGGCCTCAACTAGACCTGTAATTATTGATTCCATTTGGGTATCTTTGATTGTATTAGAGAGTTGAAACTATACTAATTTGGGGTTCAAAACTTCAATCATGTAAAAGTCTCTTGGCATAAAAATGTAATCATCTAACCACCCAAAAGGTTGGTGCCTGATTAGTTTGAGCTTGACTCCAAAGGTTAAAAGTATCAGGAGGTCCCATGTTCAAATCCCCTAGTGGCCATGGAGGTTCAAATGCGGTGACTCCGGACTACGTGCAAAGCAGGTGGTCGTTCTGGGATTAGTTGGCTCGCTTAGCGGGTTGAATATCCTGGTTAATAAAAAAAATGTAATCATTTGGTCCATTGGGGTGTGTTTGGTAAGCAGACGTAGGGACTGAAGTAGGCGGCTGAAAGAATTCCGAAAGGTTTGGGGCTTTTGGTTCACGGGATTTGGTACGATTTGGAATTGAAGTCCTTCAATTAAATCCCATAAATATTGGATTTAGAAATCACATGGATAGTTGGTATTTCATGGGATTTTATAGAATTTGTTTTTAATAATATATGAAAACACTTATTCTCTAATAATCAATTAATAAAAGGTAATTTAATTATTTTAGTAATTTTTTATGAATCTTTTGATGAAATATCTATAATTAACGGAATTCAATTCCATTCCAAATCATACAAACCAAACACACCAAAAATTTCAAATCTTTTCAGTTCCTTCCAATTCTAAATTCTTCCACGGAATCCAAATCTGAAACGGTCTGTTAAACCAAACAGGTGTTTAGAGTTTTAATTGGACACGGTAAGTTTAGTAATTTACCGATCTTCTAACATCTCCCTGATTTCTGTCTCACCAAAAAGAAAAAAAAATGCATTTTTGTCACTCTCAAGTCCAGTCCTGTCCCAGTCTAATGTCCGCCAAATGTGGAAGAACAAGTTTTTGTACTGTCCTGTCTCGTGTACCAAACACACCCTTGCTGTCACTCTGCTACTCTGTTAGGGACATGTGTAGGTTGTGATTTTGTTGTAGCTTTAGCTTAGTCTTAATTAAAGATGGAAGTTGTCGACTTAATGGTTGTATTTGCGCAGGCTGCTTGTGATATTTTGTGTGATCAATATGGTAAATTATGTGGACCGAGGAGCGATTGCTAGCAATGGTGTAAACGGGAGTGCAAGAGTTTGCACAGAAAGTGGTGTATGCTCCCACGGTAGTGGAATTCAGTAAGTCTTTAAAGTTAATGAACAAATATAACATGAATTGTGTGCTTTCTGATAAGGTTAAGATGGTATACACTTTATGCTTTTGAGAGAAATCGATAACAAGCTACAACCATCCATCAAGAACGATTCATCAATTCTTTTATGTTTTACAGGGGTGATTTTGACCTAAGCAATTTCAAAGATGGTGTGATTTCTTCGGCTTTCATGGTTGGACTTCTTGTGGCATCTCCGATATTTGCATCCTTGGCCAAGAGGTAATACACACGTATAGTTGAAATTACTAGTTGCCCCTGCCAACCGTGTTAATATTGATAACGAAACTTTAAGCTACTGTTAAAGTACTTCCATCCCGTGCAAAAAGCAACATTTTCCATTTTGGAATGTTCTATGAGAAAGTTGATTTTTGCCAACATCGCAAGTTAAAGCTACCTGTTMGCTGGTTATCACCATTAGGAAAGGTTAATGCTACTAATTGCGGTCCACAAGATTCGACCTTTTGTCCATGAAGGGTATTTAAGACCTTTGACTAATAACCAAACACTTCCCATGCAGCATCAATCCCTTTAGGCTTATTGGAGTTGGATTGTCGGTCTGGACTTTTGCCGCAGCTGGCTGTGGGATTTCAATTGATTTTTGGTCCATCACAATCTGCCGAATGTAAGTAGACTGCTACAAACACCATAAAACCTTTAGAACACGTGACTGCTTAGTTTTAACGGGTTCCTCGCTCCTAATGTCATTTTTCAGGCTAGTTGGTGTTGGTGAGGCTTCTTTCATTAGTCTTGCAGCTCCATTCATTGACGATAATGCTCCAGTTACTCAGGTTCCGTCTTACCCTTCCCAAACCTTACCTTTGCAACTATCCCAAGGGGTAGAGAGGTAGTTTCTCTCTACCACTTGGGATAGAGACAATTCATGTTTTCTTGCTTTTCCGAGTTTTTATGACAATGACTAGACATGTATCCTTATTTATCACAGAGAACAGCTTGGCTGGGAATATTCTACATGTGCATACCGACTGGAATTGCCGTTGGTTATGTTTATGGTGGATGGGTAAGTTGTATTTGTATGACTATTTCAAATTGGTGAGGGGCTGTTTGGCAATTGTTGAATGGTTTGATGCAGAATGATTAAGTGATCAGAATGATTAAGAGGCTCTCATGATATAGTGCAAAATGAAATATAATTATTTGGTAATTGTGTACAAAGAAATTAGGGCTCTTAATGGTTAAGAGAGATCCAGGATACAAAATCATTCAGAGGGTTTTAGAACCATTAAGAGGCAAACTTTTATTTTTCCAAACTAGATTCACCTCTTAATAATTCAGAGGTTGCCTTTTAATGGAACTATTAAGAGGTAAAACAAACAACCCCTGAGTCTTTTTTAGCATGCTGAAGATCCTCAACCATCTTACTACGAATATATGTTTATAACTATTTCTCATATGTTACGTCTTCTAAATTCGACTGTAAGAGGTGAAACTAACGGCTTTCATTCTTTTTTCTCTGTTTCTAGGTCGGAAATGGCCTCGGTTGGCGCTATGCATTTTTCGGTGAGGCGATTCTGATGCTGCCATTTGCTATTTTGGGTTTTGTAATGAAGCCTTTGCAAATGAAAGGTATATTTTGAGTAAGATATATGTGTGTATAAATATAAAACTCTAAAACCGAAATGAATACTTTAAATACATAATAAGCTTCATTGTCTGTTGTTGCTCATCAGTTTGAAAAATCCAGGTTTTTCTCCTGCCGGATCGAGAAAACCATTTACAACTCCGGAGACCAACGTTATAGAAGTTGAAGGTGAGCTTTCTTATCTTGCTATGTATTCTTGTAAAATAGCGCAATACTTGCTATTCTTGGTGATATAGAATTTAAGGGGCCGTTTACCTAAATGCTTACCCGGTAAGCGCTTACCAATAGGAGTCGACGCTATAAGTTATTTAGATGCGTAAGATTTTAGTACATCAAAGCATATCCAATGCAACAATTTACTAGGTAAGCGCTTACCTGGGTAAGAGTCGTCATCCTCACTTACCGGGTAAGACTCTCCATCCTTCTCATCGCTCTTACCCGGTAAGATTCTTGGCCCTTCTCATGTTCATCCGATGAGGAAATTTATGCGTTAAGCACTTGCCAAGTAAGTTTTTAGTAAACGGGCCCCTAAGTGATGGTTAGAAGCAATTAGTCATTTAAAAAAAAGTTCAATGTTAACATTAAGGGCTAGCTCAACTGGCAAATAAAAGTTAGGTCTTTGGGGCTCCTCGCCATATTTCGCCAGTTCGTGAGAAGAAAGAGGTTTTATCGTCATCATGGTTTTGATAGAAACGTTTGCGTTGATGCAGTTATTACAACCGATAAAGATGTCCCAGTGTTGGATCGTAGCTCAAACAAACCTTCCAGGTGTGTTCTCAAACCTATGAATCTGAAATTGGAAAACACTTCACGGTTATTAACCGTTTGTTACTATCGATATATCGTTACCGCAGATCTGGTTTATTTAGATTTTGGCAAGATATGAAAGCGCTTTTGCTTGAGAAGATATACGTCGTCAACGTTCTAGGTAACCTGATTTACCACATGTTTTATATACTAATATGTACTGCATAATAAAGCGTTTACGTAAAAGTCTTGAAAACAATTTATTAAGCATTAGGTATTGCTTAGTTCCCTTGAATTTCTAGTTTACAAGTAAGTACTCCATGCATACAATTTTTTAGAAGCTCTTTTTTTTTATTAACCTGGATATCCAACCCGCTATGCGAGCCGACTAATCCCAGGGCGACCACCTGCTTTGCAGATAGATTTGAACCTCCGTAGCCACAAAGGGATTTTTATTCCTCCTTGGATTTGAATCTGGGACCTCCTGATACTTTTGACCTTTGTAGCCAAGCTCTAACCAATTAATAAACACAGAATAATCTTTGAGGCAAACTGATATAACATAATACTTCATTATCCTACCATTCTATGTACTAATCGTGTACAATGAATGGTTTTTCCTAGGTTATATTGCATACAATTTTGTCATTGGTGCGTATTCATATTGGGGACCAAAGGCTGGTTATAGCATATATCATATGGTAAGCATTCTTAACCGTTATTAGCTACAAGTCGTAACTTTTTGGCGATAATTTATCTTGACGACACAAATAAACAGAAAAAACCGTACTTGCCCAATTTCTCCATCTAAGATTTTTACCATTTACAGAGCAATGCCGATCTATTGTTTGGAGGAATCACGATTGTGGGTGGAATTGTTGGGACATTGGCAGGAGGTATTATCTTGGATCGTATGAACTCCACGATCCCGAATGCTTTCAAGGTTTACGTTTGTCTTCAGATCTTCACTTCCGACAATATTGTTATTGGCGGTATTCATCTCGCTATATCGTGGGACAAAATTTTGCTGTTTGTATGTAATTAAACCTGTTCCCTGATCATTTTTTGCAGCTTCTTTCCACGACAACTTTTCTTGGCGCGATATTTTGCTTCAGTGCGTTTTGTTTCAAGAACCTGTACGCTTTTATGGTTCTCTTTCTCATCGGAGAGATACTTGTATTTGCCACTCAGGTAAATCTCGTTGTTGACGTTTACGTGAGAAAACATTAATTAGCACAACATACTTGTCTGGTGATATAGATCAGGTCCCCTTAGATTAGACCCCATGGGTCGGATATAGTGGCCTCGTTTGGTTTTACTTGTCTGACATTACCGAGTGTTATCATAACTATTTCCATAAAGCTTGGAAACTGTAGATGCTCATATTTTCCTACTGCAGGGTCCGGTGAATTTTGTGTGCCTCCATACTGTTAAACCAAGTTTGCGTCCGTTATCTATGGCTATGTCTACCGTGGCAATTCATGTCTTCGGTGACGTGCCTTCCTCTCCTCTCGTTGGAATTATTCAGGTTTGTCTTTCCTGATCCTTAGCTATAGTTTTCATTTGTTGTTTCGGATCCATTGTACATGCTCATGTAATTCTGTTGAAGCATTTCTCAAATTATTGACCAATGCTGATTGTCGTTTTTGATAAGAAGCTGCGAAGGGCTCATATTCTTTTACGTAATGCAGGACAACATCGACAACTGGAGGACAACTGCTTTGATCCTAACTTCAATACTGTTTTTGGCAGCTGGGATATGGTTTATAGGTATGGTTTGGCCAAAAATGCTCGTTTATACCGTTTCTCCTCAATATATGATAGAATCCCCTTCTCTCCTTTAGACTCGTTTAGAAACATCTTACATGGTATCAGAGCCAATATCCATTATAAGGGACTCGAGACTCCGTGTGATGATCTTTTTTGCCTTGTTGGGCACTTGCAGGCATCTTTCTTCACAGTGTGGACAGATACGATGAAGATAAAGAGCTTCCCGATGCCACTGTTGAGCGATCAAACACCACACCGCTGCTTGAGGACGAGACGACTGAAACAACTGCTGTGTCTGCTCAACTGTGAATTCGACAGCATCTTTAACTCCGACTTAAGTAATTTCTTTTAACACGTAGTAAATGTACAGCCTCGCTAGCTTTTTTCGTCTTTTTTTTACCCTAACGCGGTTTTTGTTTGTAAGTATTTTCATTTTGAGCATAGGCAGTATTTCAAATTTGTCCATAGTTAAAGTATACAAGATTTCTGCATGAGACCTTTTGCAACTAATGGAGGGATCTCAAGGCTTTGATGTAGGAAAGACAATATTATGTTGGTAACCACTTTGTCCCTATTGCCTTTGGCCTAAATTGTTGCATATAATGCGTTTTAGTGAATAAAATCTTATCTGGTAAGTAAGCGATAATGTTGAATTTTTACCGGTAAGTGCTTACCGGATAAGTGTTTAGGTAAACGACCCTTAAGATAAAGAAAGCCAAAGGATTGAGTTAAAATATAGCTAAAAATTAAGATATATATATATATATATATATATATATATAATTGGGCCCAAAAAATTCTGAAAATAAAAAAAAAATTGGAGACCCTGTTCGGAATCTCACATCTACTAAACCCTAATTTCAATGACTAAGGGGTCTTTTGTCAAGCGCTTAACAGCAAGATATACCATCCTCACTCACCTTATTGATAACATTTCCAGTTATTTCTCTTATCCAGTAAGATTCTCGGTCCTCGCTATTCTCATCTAATAATATAAATGACACCCGTTGAATGCTTACTCAATAAATGTTTGATAAACGATCCTAAAATGATAATAATAAGGGAAGATATCACAGTCATAAAAGTTCTGGGAAAACTTGAAAGTTGAAACCGAAGCAAAGTTGATAGTTTTAATTGACATTAGGTTAGGTCAAACTTGAATCAGTGAAAACTAGTCAAAACTTTGGGTGGGCATCAAAAGTCTTTTGATGCGATGTCGGACTTGGAGTTGGGCAGTGTGGGTCTGAGTGGATAGGGCAGGAACCAAATAAAAAGAGTGCCAGAGGGGTGTTGAGTAGTTGGAAATTGAATCGTTTCTAAAATTTATAAAATATCAAATCGATTTAATAGTATATTATTTTTAATTGTCATTATTATTTTATATACATATATATTAATTAAATTATAT